ATACGGCGGATTGTCGTATCCTTGTGGACTATGCGGGCTTTGCGGCTGCTGACTCGGTCCGCCGTATCCTTGAGGCCTCTGCCTATAACCACCCTGACTGGAGCCGCCCCCGTACTGCATCCTGGAAGTCCCGTTCGGCCTTGTTCAGCCCGATGAAACTGCGACAAGCTCGACGGACGGAGGCGTCGGGAGAGGCTGAGGACAACCTAGGCGTGTATGAGACGCGGCCATCAGGCACAAGGGTGATGAGTAGTATATGGTTAGATAGCAAGTGACAGGCATGTGACACAGCGGAGGTATACGCTCGCCTCCTCTCCAGCGAGTTGACGTACTATATGTAGTGCATCAAGGAGTGATTCAACACTTATAGAGTACCCTACCTGTGTCTGGTTCAAGCCTCAAAGTCAGAGCCAAGGTCGACCGATATCTATCGGATGCATTGATCGTCGATTGTCGTACAACAACCCATCTTACAGTCGTGAAAATGGACTAGCAGGAATACAACAGTGGTGGGGAAGCTGAAAAATACAGCTCATGCAAGGGGCAGGGGTTCGACGATGAGAGCGGGGAATCACTTCAGCAACTCCTCGACCACCCTATCGTCGTTGATCTTGGCGACGTTCGCCCCGCGGTAGTTCAATCGACGAAGCACGTCAATCTACGGACTTTACGTTAGATGAAAGAGAACGCGGTAGGATCACAGACGTACGACTTTACTCCGCTCGAACCCGAGCGCCTCGAACTGCTCGACATGCGCCCGCTCGAGGCCCGCTATCGCGATCTCGTCCCTCCCCGCCGCCTGCCCTCCTCCCGGCTGGCCGCGCGTCTTCGGATCTGGCCCGCCGGCGTATATGTGCGTCCAGTACCGCGCCGTATCGTCAAAGCTGCTCCTGCTGGTCGAGTAATGCTTCGCGACCTCCGCGTCCTGCGGATCGTTCGGCTCGGGCGAGCACAGGAGCGACTGCAGCGAGATGAGCGTCGACTTGAGCGTCAGCACGGGCGACCACGCGTCCTTGAGGATATCGAGGCAGATCGCGCCCGATGCGGACGAGACGTTCGGGTGGTACACCTTCGTGATGAACTTCATCTTCACGGGCTGGAACGGATAGCTCTCCGGGATCACGATGTCCTGAGAGACGGCACGCACGCGGGCGCTAGGTGAGACGCACTCGCTCGGGCAGGGCGGAGGGCGTGGGTGACACCTACGACTTCGAAGTGGCCGCCTTCATATGGCGTGCCTTCGGGCCCGTTGAAGGATCCCTTGAGGTGGTACGGCGAGTCGTCGATCAACTCGATCCGAATGTTGGATGTCTTGTCATTTTTGCAGTCTACGCTGCAGGTGTTCATTCGAATGAGCACTGACGTCCTAGAGAAATTAACTGACCTGCAATCTCCTTGTTGACTCTCCTAAGCCGTGCGTCCATGTTCTGTAGATATGCGGTAGAGCCTGATGACAATCGTCTGGTAGCTGAACAACAGACACCCAGAGGTGGCTGAAGCCAACATTCCGCCCACATTGATTTGGCACGTGATGTTGACTGCTTTACGTAATTTACGTCGAAGTCAGACGAGCACACGTGACATATATACACGGTTGGGCCGCTATCCTCTGCTTTTTTTTTGCCGCCAAACTACTGATTTATAACGATGCATTGATTTGCTTTCGATTTGTCGCGCGAAGACGCGAACATTAATCAAGTTCAACCAGTCCCACAACACGAATGTCGCACATAAACTGGTATCAATGACATACGGAAGTTCACAGCTAGAAATTGCTGCACTTGCCATTTCTGACCCGCTACTTGCGTATGTAGTGATATTCTGAAAGTTCTCAACAGAGTTCTCAGCAATTTATCATAGGGAGATTCGAAGACCACATGTTGTGTGATCAGCACCGGATCCCCCTCGCGTCTCCAAGTGGCTCATGTCCTAGGGGTGGCTCTCTCGGTAGGTAAGTATGATGATACAGCGCGGTGCTTATATCGCGGAACCCCGTTCTCAAGGCCGCGTATCTGCTGGCTGGACCCGTCGGCAGCACACAACTCCGAGTCGGTCATCGAGCCGAAGATGCTACCCTGAAAGAGGCTACATGCAACATGACGAAAATGACTCATACGCTCGATCTACGCCGTGCAACGGAGGCTTGATGTGTACTCGTTAGGTTGCTGCTGTCTCAGAGGGCAGTTTCGGCTGCCAGGACGGCGTGCGTATGAATCCTTATCGACTCTTCATCTCCGTCGCCCACGCCGGCGCCGTGTCTTCAGCGAGTTCCGAACAACTTCGAATCAATGATTTGCTCGGCGTCTCCATATGGCACTCGGTGACGTCGCCTTCGCCCGCAAAAAAAAAACGTCGATGGCCTTGTCGCTCGTCACCTGTGGCGTTGTGACCGTCATTGACATCCCTTGCTCCTCGACCGGCGAAGAACTACATGTCACTCGATCATCGCGCGATTGGGTGGTCTTCCTCGCTGCCACCGGCATTCACAGATTTCCGAAATGTGCTTCACCCCGATTATCCATTTTGTCGGTGCAAATTCTCATCTGGAAACAAACATCCCGCAAAGTTGGTGCCAAACTTCTCGCTTGGACGCCGGCCGTCGCCAGATACCAGCGCAACGAGGCGCGAATAAGATGGCGACACTACTACCTACTTGTTACCCCCATTCACAAGCGAGCGCGTGGCCTCTCCTGCGCCGCCGAGGTGTTCGCGGCAAAACCTGGTTCGCTATGATTATCGTTTCAACTCCGATACGAGACGATATCAGCTGCACGCCTGGAGAACTCCGAATGTTCGCTCCCCTTCACGACACGTGTTACCAGCCCGGTGGGACGCGGAGGCCTATTCCTGCTATGTGTATGCATCGGTCCTGGATCTCCGGCTGGTGGAAGACGGGCTCGCCAAGCTCATCGCGACCCATCCGCACTTGTCCGGCGCCGCCACTTGGGATGAGACGATGACCGCATCATTCAGGGTCTACAGGCACCAGTCCACGCTCCACGCTATTTGTAGAAATCGTTGGACCCTGGTCGAGCTCACCTTGTTCGCCATCGCCGCGAGGCGACTCCAGGACTGAAGGCGAACCGCGCTACGTGACCTTCCGCCCTCCCCTCCGAGCTCCTTTCAATTAGTATGTGTTGGTATGTGCGGCTCTCACGCGCTATGTTCGTACGATCCACTGCTTCTTCACAGATAGACTTGTGACCAGCACAAACAGCACAGACTCTCGGGACCTGATCCGTCGTTTCAGCCTTCCGTCACAGCGAATACTCAGGTCAACCCCGACGATTGGGTCGATTACCTAGCCAGTAAGGGTCTCATGAAGCGGGTCGTCTTCACATTCAGGTTGTACACGACGATTGCGCCGACTACATAACTAATGGAGATCTCGTGAAGCGTGTCATCTTCACGGCATCTTCACGGCTCCTCGCATTGTATTCTATCTCAACGCGTCGGGACAGGAACAAGGATAGCGCGTGCACGAATTCAATTAGTTACTAAACATCATGCTCTATATTTGCCCCGCTTCTTTGACATTGATTGTTCGACATAAGCTCCCGCTTCCGGTCTCAGCCGTTACGGATGTTGGAGTCCCGTATACCTACGAATGTTGTTAATATGACATGAAAACAAGGACATATGATGAACTGGGCCTGCATGGCAGACATTGAGCCTGTAGTATACGCCGGAGTACAGCGTAACCTACGCCGGAAGGGCGAGTAGCGTCTGAGGAGCCTAAACAGATCAGTACAGGTTCTCGTGAGTAAACAGAATCAGAAGCAGTCGAACCAGCCGCCCAACTATCTCGGCTATGATGACCGCGGGCCCCTGCATACGCTCATGCGGATTCCGGAGGGCCGTGGAATCATAGCCAGACAGGAGGGCGGATGGGCCGACTGTTTACCGCGCCAAAGGAACAGACTGTGCAAGTACGCCGGAGGTGGGGCTACAGCTGAAGGTGCTGAAAGTCCTCTGAAAAAGCCTCTTTTATACTAGACCGAGGCCCATGGCACGAGGCGGATACGTGCGTTCGCTTAAATTCCCATTATCGGGCGATGCGACTTAGGGACGAGATCGCATTCGACGTCTCCGGATGGGCTCCCGAACTAGCGCATCACGCTACCCCTGCTCGTGAGATCCGAATCATGAAACGGACGGTGGGTGATATCCGTTATCGGAGCGAGCTGGTACGGACTCGGGCAATCGATGGCTCACGCAGCGGATCGTTGAGGGGATCTCGGAGGTGCGCACCGAGGCAAGGCCGTCGGAGGAACCGAGGTACACTCCTAACATTGCGACGTTGCGGACAGAGGACGGTATGCCACGCATGTGCGCTAGTGACCGCGCCGGATCGTCGTATCGCTTTGTTATCGGCGTGCTTTTCAACACCCGGTCCTTGGGAAGGCCTATCTCCCTCCGCAACTTAGGCCTATCACCGCAAGTGCAGGTTTTATTTATCATCGTCACGCGAGTTCCGCCGAGCCAGGTGTGATGGCGCTGGAGATACAGCGTAAACCTCGCGGCGCGCGTCATGTAAAGGCGAGGGCCTCCAAAATGGGTCGCACGGAGCTTGAGAGACTTGGAGTCCGGATGGCCCTAGTGCGACGGTATTTGCTCGCCGTTGAACTTCAATACCGCGGAAATAATCAACGGGGTTGTATGATATTCGTTCAAGAACCACACAGAAGCGGCTCGCGACGCTAAGGACAGGAACGACTCACATCGGCTTACGGCGATTCGGACAAGAGAATTGGTAATAGAGCTCAATTCTTAGGGGCGAGATCACGAGAAAGATCTCGACGAAGTTCAGCAATTGATCTTGTTTGTAGAGAGATCCTAAGCACTGTCACGGGTTGCCGTCATGTAGGCGCTTACACGAGGTATTACGGCAACGTTACCAACAAGGGTCTATTCCTGATTTCCTGACCAAGCAACGTTGCTGCAACAAGCTCCCGCGGTTCCATGAGGGGAACTACTATATACGAGTCAGCGCGATCTGCCGCTGTGAATCAAGGTGCGAGGTTGAAATCAAGCGTGGTTCGGAGAAGCGGAGCAGAACGCACCTCGCACCGGGTACCCGTTGTCTCGACGTTGAGAAGCATCGTCTGCATGGGCTGGGAAAGAGTAGGATTTCATTGTAAACCTACATGGATAACTATTCTCAAGTATGTGTTGAGATCGGCATGTTGTACAGCAGCCTGAGAGCTAACTGGAGTCCGGTGAACGGCGGCGAGTGCTCCCCATGAAGATGTAAAGCTCGCTATGCAGTGGAGCAAGCAAGGACTGGCGACGCCCAGAACCTTCCAGTGGGCGAAAAGTCTCAGAGAAATTGATCCTGCCCCGTGGGAGAAGCTGCAGAGAGATGTGCTTGAGAACCGTGCGGCCTCGAGGCTACAAGGTGATAAGTATTCTGATCTCGTCAAGCATGAGAAAGCAGGCGAGCTAGTAGCAGCTAATATGGCGTTTTCCCGAAATGGTTTAGATCCACCGGCCGTCACAAGAGACTCCTTACTGCATCGCGACGACAGCATTTCTCAGAGAGATCTCTTCAGCTTGCACGGTACCTAGAGGTAGCGGAGGAGATGGCGAGAAGGAGAAGTTATCTCGTCGAGATGTGCGTCGTTAGTAGCAGAAGCTTGAGTCAGTTCTCGCTCGGAAGAAAGGGGATACCACAGCGTCCTGTGACCGATACCCCAAGCGTCATTGATATTAAACATCGATTTTCATCCGAACATACTCTATAGGACCCTTGAAGAACGTCTCGCCGAAGGGTTCCATGCCTCGTCTTTGATACCATTCGGCACTTGCTAGTCGAGCATCGCACCATATACTGGTCACCGTAGGATCTGAAGAGCCGATGGCGATGACATGAGACAATAAGGCCGTGCCGATGCCTTTCCCTTGCTCCGAGACTGCGCAAGCGAACTTGCGAAACCGCATTGCGGGCAATATGCCATCGTCCGGAGAAGTCTTCGGAAGCGGCTCATAGAATAGTGAAATGACCGCCACCGGGTCATCGTGCGAACCAATGAATGCGCCGTAGTGCTTTCCCGTATCGTCTTCGGGGAGAAGAACATGCGAAACCGGGTGATCAGGCCATAGTACGCAATGGCGCAGCTTCACGGTCTGCTCTGCTGAAATGGGCACGATACGAACATCTGAGCAAGCAGCGTATATCAGTGTCTGAGGATATCTGAAGACTACATCTGATTCCGTTCAATTCTAATCCAGCTCACCTCGTTGATCGCTGAAATTGGGCTCTACGGTACCGCTTCCCATCGAGTAGCTTTGAATGCTACATGACGGGGACCTTGAGTGAGCAGCCGTGGCTGGGACTCGCACAATACCCGCCAGGATACCTTGTCATTCACCCGGGTGTGTTATCCAGTGATCCACAGTATTTGCGTTGACGGCGGCGGCGGCAAGAGGCAAATGAGACGTTGCCACGATTGTCCGCGTGACTTGCGCGACCACCACAGCTTCCGTCTCGCCCTCTGTCGCGGTTGTCGTCAAACCTCCAAACCATGGCTGAACCAACCAAAGCCGAAACTGAAGCTGTCTTCAAGGTCTTGAAAGCCCAGAAGGCGAACAAGGTGATCCATAGTTGATTCACTCCTCAAGCCAAGCTTACACTCTATAGGTATGTTTCGACTGCCAAGCCCGTAACCCGACATGGTCCAGCGTTACGTACGGTATCTACATATGCTTGGAGTGCTCGAGCAACCATCGCAACATGGGCGTGCACATCAGCTTCGTTCGGTGAGTGGATTCAACTACGGATTCACCATGTATGTGTTCTGATCGACCGGTCAGATCCACAAATCTCGACAGCTGGCAGCTCAACCAGTTACGCACGATGAAAGTGGGAGGAAATGCTTCGGCAGCCGAGTTTTTCACGAAGAACGGCGGGGCGTCGCTTTTGCACGACTCCGATTCTAAGAAGAAGTACTCGAGTCGAGTCGCGGAGTTGTACAAGGAGGAATTGGCAAAGCGAGTCCAAGAGGACGCCGAAAGGTATTTGTGGATCTAACTCTGCGCTTGTCTGTCATAACTCATCTGCCATGTCAGGTTCCCTGCCGGGATCTATGTTGAAGGTGCTGCAGAAGCTCCGATCTCAGCACCAGCTGCCGCGAAAGTCGACGAAGACGACTTCTTTTCGTCCTGGGACAAGCCGTCAACACCGAAGACACCATCTGCCCCATCTCAGCCTACACCACCTCCCGTGTTAGGCCGTGTAGCCTCGTCTGGGCCATCTGCTCCTCGAACCGTCACGTCATCGAGCTTGCGAGCTACTTCCAGCTCCGGAGCCGCCGCGCGTGCAGGCAAGTTCGGCGCGTCGCGTATCAACTCCACGTCCTCTGCCTCTTCCGCCGCCTCGGCGGCGGGACCGAAGAAATCGAAGTTGGGCGGTCTCGGCGCGAAGAAGGCGGCTGCTCCTGTGGACTTCGACGAAGCGGAGCGCAAAGCCGCGGAGGAGGCGGAGCGTATAAAGCAGCTTGGGAAGGAGAAAGAACGTCAAGCTGAGGAGAAGGCGAGGCAAGCTCAAGAAGCTGCCGCAGCCGCCGCAGCAACCAAATCCACCGCCCCGACTCCAACCGCTACCACGGCAAAGCCGGCAGCAGCAGCTTCCTCTCCCAACCAAGCTCGTAGTGGCAATGATCACGATATATCGAGACTGGGCATGGGCATGAAGCGGATCGGCCTGGGCGCCGTACCGAAGTCACCCGCTGCATCATCTACTTCCAAGGCGCCGTATGTTTGCCCTATCTCCACATCGTCCGAACTTTCTGACACCCAATTCAGTACGGAAGACGAGTCTACCTACGCACGGGACAAGTTCGGAACGCAGAAGGCGATCTCGTCTGATATGTACTTCGGTCGCAACGCCTATGATCCAAGCGCCGTGAGTGAAGCGCAAGATCGCCTGAAGTCCTTCCAGGGAGCGACGTCCATCTCCTCAAACCAATACTTCGGACGTGAAGACGAGGAAGACGACCTTGGCGGCGGCAGCGACGGTGGTGCACTCAACGACGGCAGTCTGGCGAACCTCGAGGTTGCGGCGCGTGATGCCATCCAGCGCGTGTTAGCCAATCCCGACGTGCAAAATGCGGCTGAGAGTATCAGAGCCGGGGCTCTCAAGGTGCGTTCGACGTTTGGTCCAATGCCCTCAACTAACATACCTTGTCACAGCTATCGGACTACCTCGCTCAACTTTCGGAGCGTTAACAGCTTATGGTTTCTTCCTGGACTCGCTAATCCTTCCTCATCATCGGGCTTGTTTGTTACATTCGCTCTACAAAATACATGCGGCTTACCCTGGCCACTTTCGCGCGGCATCTGACGATCGTAATCCTCGACGGCTCCGACGAGAGCCATCGTCACGGTAAGTTTTCGCCAGGTCTTTGGTGCTATCGATCCGCAGTTCGCCATGCGGTATCATGGACCGAACAAGGGTCGGTGTTGGCACCTTTTAAGGCCCATGCTGGCCAAAGTTGACGATCTGACGCGAACATCACGTACGCCTGCGCATCTCCCGAGCCGCAGTAACGCCTTCCTTTCGAACACGCGGCAGCGTTGGAACACGGCACGTCCCCGAACATTATGTCGCCGCTCAGGGCCCTCCTTGCCCTGCCTTGGCTGACGGCGCCGCCGTCATCGTCGTAGGTTTTTCTGGTAACATCGATCCGTGACGACATGTGCTACGTCGTTGGTGACCACGCGTGCAAGGTGCGCCTGTATCGGTAGGCCGCATTACTACTGAGACACTCTTAGATGACACGAACCACGTGTACGTTGGCACCGGGACCACATCCCTCTCGTCATCTTGCGACGTTCGAGAACGTTACAAGCTGCGAGGCGGAAAACAGAAGCTGTCTCCCACGTCCGGTTCTCGAAAGCGTGTTCTTGACGCACGCCCGGATTAGCAAGCTTTTGCCTTCTCGACAACGCGAACGTCCTCTGGAGGTTCTTCCACCAACGGCGGAAGATGCTCCCGTAAATGTACGATACCTAGCTGATCACCAATTCACGTGTTCAGTGCGTAACAGGGCCGTGCTAGACGGGGGTAATTAAGCGCTGGACGGCATCCCCGTCTCACGGTCTGCTATCTGTGATGCACGAGGCGATCGTGACTCGACCAGATCAATCGTTATAAGCTCCAAGAGTGTGTTATATTGCGGGCACCCGCCGAGTTTGTCCAGACTAAATCGGGCTGAGAAGTTGCAGTCCATCCTCAGCGGTATAGATAAGAAAGAAAACAACAACTAAAAAGAGAGCGTGTCAACATCGAACAACGCGCAGCTTTAGTCCTTCTTCGTGTCCTCTTCGGAGGGTCCGGCGTCATACGCCTCCTTCGTGTCTGGGCCGGACCGGTTGTACATCTCCTGTACGCTGACCTTCTTCTGGAACATGACCGTCGCTAGGACGGTGTCCGCAGCCGCCCTGAGGGTACTTCGATTTTTGAGATGGATCTTGCGCTGCCAGTCCTTGTAGTTTTGCCACCCGGCGGCAAGTTGTAGGCTGTAATCGCCCGAAACTGCGTCCCTGTTGGCTAACGAAGGGAGGGAACCCGCAGGTACTAGATAAGATAGCAGGAACGTCAGATATGCTATGAGCCGCAGAAAGCGCAGAAAAAAGGCTGACCATTCTCAAACCATTTCATGGTGTAGGCGTCCGGATCGTTCTTGTATTCCGGCGGTACCTTGGTATTATATACAGGTTCCCACCTGCCCGGCATACCCGCACCTGTACGAGCAATGTTCGGCGGGACCATGCTCATCGCAGCCGAGCCGTCGGGCATCGCCCCCGCCGTTGCATGGCACGACACGCACGAGGACATGAAGTTGTCCGCAGGACCTAATCGATCGCTCAATGTTTAACCAAATGCTGTAGTCGAGGAAGTCGGTGCGTACCATTGAGTCGCCTGTTCCAGCCCCAGAACGGCCTGAAACCCTTCATTTCCTCCAGCTTCTTGGTAGCGACGGGGTTAACCCAGCTTTCTCGCGGGAGTAGGTGCTCCTCGTCAACCTTCTTTTGCGTTAGGGCAGGATCGTTGCCTGCGATGTCAGATCAGTGAGCGGTCTGGATGAGCTTACGCGGGTGTACGTACCCCACTGGATGCCTACCGGAGTCAATCTGTACCAGGGCTGTTTGAGGATCAGTAATCAGCTCGGAGACGGGTGAAGCCGCAATGACCCTACATTGATATCCGTACGGGAACCGTCGAACATGAACGTGCCGAAGACCCAGCCAACAGGCGCACGATCATCTCGCACCGCAAAATCCATCTGGACCAGGCGCATTGGCGTCGTATATTGGTTTCGTTTATCCTTCGCAGGGTCGTTTCCAGGCTCGGGGTTCTTAGTGGGATCAGGCTGCTCGACGATCATCTGCAAGCCAGGAGTCAGCATCCACAATCATGTCAAATGAACTATCAAACACGGACAGCATCCCAAGTGGGCGCTCCTTTCAGAAGGGGGACCTCCTCCTCCGTTGCGTTCGTGAAAAGCATTTTATAGACCATGGTACCATGCGGGAACTTAAGGTGGTCGTTCCACTGCGGGTTGTTCGGGTCTTTCCAGACTTTGGCGAAAAGGGTCGCGCCTGGGGCATTGTAGAAGCCGACGGCCCACGCTTGGAGCCAGTGGTCCTTCTGACCTTCCGACAGTTCTCCAGATGGGGTCGCACGTTCCATAGTCAGACCGTGGCAGGGTTCGCGCCCGTGGGGCCCGTAGTGCATCCAAGCCGCATGGTACCAGTTACGTTTCTGTCCAAAATTGGAGGTCGAAACTTGTTGAAGACGAGATTGACCAGGACGGTAGCGTACCTTGTTGAATTGAGGGACGAAGTCCACCTCTGCCATACCCTCGAGGCAGTACTGCTTGACACATTCGATAAACCTCTCCGGCTCTTTCTCCCAGTCGATCGTCGACCACGGCGCATCGAGGTCAGAGAGAGAAATCACTTCGGGATAGTCGTTCCGGATGCGCCATTCTTGGCCGGCGAAGCCGCTCGGGGGTTTGTACTTGGACGAGCAAGCGAACTGCTCTTCGGCAGAGGTACGTGTGGGGATCGCGTCCGCGTGCACAGGAGTGAGAATCGTAGCGTAGGCGCCCCCTGCCGCAGCCGAGGCCAGCAGAGCTCTACGGCCGTAGATGAAAAGACGGCCAGCCTGAGAGGACATTGCGACGTCTAGTGAGGGAAGTTGGGTGTACTACCGTCATGGTGGTCGCCTTATGAGCCCGGAGACTACGGAGACATTTTGCCACCGACTCAAGTCAGGAGTGTGTATGCCTGTCACGGAGAGCTGTCAGATCGCTGTGGTTAATGTCCCGGCCAGGGCGCGTACCTGGATAATTCGGACACTCCAATTCGCCGAGTCGATGCCAAAAGCGGCGTGAATAGATGAGTTCGTCCATTTCAGCCCAACATCTCAGGTGTTGAAGAAGTCGTGCTATGCATATCTGAAGGTATTCTGGTTGAAACCGCAGGACGATAATGGCGCAGGAGGTGAACCCCGCCAGGGCTCAACGTCGCCAGGGCTCAACCCCGCCAGGGCTCAACTCCGCCAGCCTCTCCTCGTACATATGACGGCACGTGACGGGCTCGCGCTTGGTACCTGTCCGCGACGGCAACCTGCTGTGTGCGACCATGATCCGCTTCATTCTGGTTCAGGCTAGTCCTCTCGTCGTCGTGCCTGTCATGTACATCCGGAATTGACGAATATGCCCAACGTTATTGGCTGGAACCATGCGTGAATAGAATCGGCAAGGGAAGACCAGGCTATCGAAGTGGTATGTTCCATATGATGACAACGAGAAGGTGAGCATGGTCTGCCCGGGATATCACTACATGAGTCGTCCCAATCGCGCATTATGAAGCTCTGCGCAAGTGTCTCTGCTACAGATACAAGATACTCATCATAACTTATAGGTCCGATTACGAGGAGAAGTTCACAGATTAGTCGCCCCTCGAGATCAGAAATACCAATCTAACTTCGTAGAGGTGAGCACCAGACTTCTCTGCTCGGCGGTCTCCATACACCGTGCTGACTTCGTGATCACAGTTTCAAAACTACAAGATTGTCTATCGCCGATACGCTGGCCTCTTCTTCTGCGTCTGCGTGGACGGGAACGACAACGAGTTGGCGTATCTGGAGGCGATACACTTGTTTGTCGAGATACTCGGTCAGTTCTCCGGAGCATCCTCTTCTTTCCTCCCTGAAAATATAATGCCGTCCAACTCGCAGATTCCTTCTTCGACAACGTATGCGAACTCGACCTCGTATTCAACTTCTATAAGGTGATTCCTCGCACGTGTTACCCACAACCGTCTTTTGCAGTCCTGACGCTAACGTAGGTGTATGCCATTTTGGACGAGATCTTCCTCGCAGGAGAAGTCGAGGAGACGAGCAAGGACGTCGTGCTTCAACGGCTCGAGGAGCTCGAGAGACTGGAGTAGAGACGATCTGCGCCTCGACCTGTACGACGAACCCAGACACTGTACATCTAGATCCGATATCCCTTCCTTGCTTATCGCAATTTCCATCGTTGTCAGACTCCCGCGTGAATCGCACATAGCGATGATCTAAAGACGCGTTCTCACATCGAAACCAAGCTTGCTTCGGCCATAGCGTCGTTTTAGGGGTCGTCATAGGATCGATACGACTTCCAGAAACCTGGATGCGATGCGGGTAGATCGATCGGGAAGAATGCGTGTCGGGAGTTTTGAAGCATCGGACCCTCTTTAACGAAGCTCCCGGGACCACGATCTTAGGAAGGTGACGACCGTGCCATTCCGACGGAAGGCTTCTCTTCCAGCTTACTCGCTATTTGCGGCGGCTATCCCGACGTTTCTGAGAACCCAGATCCATTGCTCAAGGCATAACGACCTTATGTTTAGTAAAGCGCCAGGATAATCCGGGCAGGTGCATCCTCAGCCGTCAGTCAGGCTTCTGTTTAGTAACAGATGAAGAAGGGCGATTATGGAGTTGGATTGCTAGATATTTTGTTCATTTAGATAGTACATATATGAACTGGAAATGCTAATACTGAGAGCAGGTGTAAACTGATGACTCGTGGAGGACGACAGAGAGGGTGCTTACCATCTTTGGGGTACGCTGAAACTAGGGTATATGGCGTTGGGTATCATGATGTTACAATGGGAATTATCTGCATCACATTCAGATGAGTCCATTCATAACCCAGGGTGATAACGCGATCGCATACCGTGCCGGCCACATCTCCCTCCACAAGTTCTCCGTGGACGCATCCTGATCCACCACACACATCCCGTCCCGCGCCCTGACCACGTATCGCTCGAAATCGTACACGAACACGACGCATACGATCGACGGGCAGTAGAGCCTCAGCTCGCTTGCAAGCGCCCGCAGCGCACCGCGGGACGTCGGCGCAGGCTGCCACTCCGACACCTCGAACTCGACACATTTGAGGTGCGGTAGGTGCATAAGCATCCCGTAGAATCGAAGGCGCTATAGATATATATGCGTGCATAAGGATAAACATGGCGCGGGAATTTTACGAAGTCAATTAACGGTGTTTCCATAATAATAGGTCGAGGGGCAACGACCCAAGTTAGAATGCGACGAACCTCGCGACCGCCGATGGGAAGTACCAACGTTCCGAAATAGCGCAGTTCGTTGAAGCACGGCGAGGCGGCGACGGTGAGTGTCAGGAGCTCCATCACGAAGGCCTCGGTGTAATTCGCGTCGGCGATGTCGAGCGCCAGCAGTGGCGCGGAGCCGAGGTTGAGTCGTGAGATGAGCTCGGTGTATTCGGCACGCTTGTCCTCAACTCGCGAAGCCGAGAAGCAGGTTTTGAGGCGGGTTAAAGGGCGGCCAGGGACGAGCAAGGACGCGGCCTCCGTGAAGGTGCATTCGAGGGTGGTCAGGTGAGGGAACGGAGAAGGAGGGTCCGGCGGAAGTACTGATAGCGATACATTTTCGGGTATATTCTTGTTGAAGTCGGCCACGAACAGATCTGCTAGACGCGTCTGGGTCCGGAGAAACGCGACGAGTGACTCGTCCCAGGTGAGATCGCAGTGAAAGCTGACGAGCTGGAATGTGCAGCCGGTCAAGATCCAGGTTTTGGACTCGCCGTCGCTGCTTTCTAGATGTATGTTCAGATAGCGCGTGTAGGGTATGTTGCGAAGCGCCGTCGCGACAGCGTTCCAATATTCCTCGGTAGGAGGTTGCGTGTCTTCTTCGCTGCCTTCTTCGTCCGAGGCGACGATAGTGAGCGCCCTGACATAGCCTGCCACACGAGGCTGGCGAGATAGAAGAGTGCAGAGGGCGATGGTGTCGCCCTGCTCGCTGAGATGTAAGGTGTTGTACAACGCGCGCTCCGCGGCGCGCTGAAAGCCTCGGGATACGGTGCATAACGTGTGTAAGTCTTGACGGTTGCCGACGTGCTTGGCAATGAGCTGATATGCCTCCGGCGATAATTCCATGCGCGAGTGAGGCACGTCTTGTGTGGGCGGGTTTCGTCATTAAAACTCTACCTCCAAACCGAAGACGTTTTACACTCACCTCCTGCCCCACCAGAAGCCAGATGAGTGGATCCAATTCGGTACAACGTCGGAAGTGGAAGTGTACAGCAACTAGGATGATGCCAATCTCTATCTTATACGTGCGAGTAACGCGCTATTGAATGTGCGAGAAGCAATGTTCGAGTTTGTCAGGAGGCGGTCCATTTGCGAGTTCGTACTCACACTCACGACAAGACATGAAAAACGAGATCGGAGAAAGGAATGTCGTTCAGGATGTTAGCCAATATAGGCACGGCGTGCCAGCGGTATAAGGACGTAAGGAGAGTGGATAGAGTTGGAGCCGGCTGTGGCTGCCCCGAACTCACGGCTCGGTTCAGGGGGACGAGGCTGCCGAACCGGATACAGAGACTAATCAACAACGAGCGCAGCGAGAAAGGAGTGAGCGGTCAAACGAAAGGGCGGAGCAAACGAGTGGTCGAGGGCGATCCGAGACGATGGGCTCTGCGTATGAAAGTTCGCTAATTATTTACAGCGACCAGAGTGGCAACGAATCGGTTCTGGAGAACCGGGATGGAACTGTAGTCTCGTACCTCATCCGTGCCTGTTACGTTCCGGTTTCCCGCATCGGGGATCTCGCGGTCATCTTCCTCTGCCGATTTCAGGTCCGTTGTCCGTGAGTTGCCGTTGAGAAACTCGAGAAAGCAGATAAACCACGTCGCGAAGGCGCGATGAGGCCAAAGCACCCACGCTCCACGTGATTGCTACCTCCCCGGTCTCGCCGACTGGAGCTCCTTGCTTGACGACGATATCGAGAATGTTCTGCGCTCATTCGCCGTCTGCCTGTCGCTTGTTGTCTCCTCCGTTGACAAAGGCATGATGGAATGGCTCCAATTTTCACATCACCCAACCCGCACTACAGGAGTCGCCCCTTCGCCATTCATTGGAAGCAGTTCCCAGAACCGGCGCCCGTGGCATGACTGACGTCGCTTTGGTTGTTTTGGTAGCAGCGTGCCCGGAGGAGTTTCTTGTGCGTTTGAATGTTAGGTCTGGGCCTGACGAGGATCATCCGAGCCACCCCACCTGCGATCCATGGATTCAGGCCAGGGGGTCCCAAACACACCAAGCTCTCGTCTCCGTTGCTCATAGGTTCCCACCATGGATGTTGCTTCGGTGGTTATACCTCGGCGCTTTATATCGACTCCGAAGCACGGCGTTATTGAAAGACTTTCGCGCCGATGGATCTTCTCACCGGCTCGACAATGCTCGACGCAGCTCCGCCTGTTGCTGCTCTCAACGACCTGATGAAGCACATGCAACACACCTGCTCGAGGTAATTTGCAGCTGATGAGCTGCATGAGCCTTCATCAAAGATCGAGGTTGCCATCCACCTTTGATGGCATATTCCACGCATTTTGACGCCACGAGCCGTTCCGCTGGCGGTACTTCGTGTCGTTATCAGCGCCCGTCCCTCCACCGAGCCGCGTGTGGGTACTGCGGACAAATTGGTGCCGATATCGGGGGCTTTTGCGGACCAAAGCGCAACATGGGGACACCGCAGGGCGGGCGGTCTGGAGCGTCCTTAATTCTTAAATTGGCCGTGGTGTTCCGTCGTGTGCAAGCAACCCGATGAAGTACCGACACCGTCAGCGGCTCCGTTAGACTTGTGCATCGCCTGCACGCCACCGCGCAGAAGGTTTAGCATAGCGGATTCGAGGACTCGACTACCTCATCGAGTGCAGGCGTGGTCTTCGTTTTGGTATATTCGAGAGATTGCTCTCTTTGATCGCCTAACAGTTGCTTTCCTGAACGTATCACTCTTGCTGTCATGAATCACACCCACGAGAGATCAACAACAAGGCCGAAGGTGTATGCAGTCCTCGTCGTTCCAAGCGGATTGCAAGTTTAGTCCGGTATTAGTGCCGACATTACCACGCAGCCCTTCAGTGTACCTACGTTCCACCGCCGAGGCCAAGGCGAGTTGCATATCGAGTCCCTGGGTGTACCCACGTTCATTGCGAAACGCTCACAAGTTACGGCGTTGTTCGCATCCATTTCCCCGGTGATACCGTGATCATCCTACCGAAGATTACCTGCGATGTTCCATCCATATGTTATAGGTACATTGCAATGCGACTACTGCGGAGATCTGAACGTCAAAACGTCGATGAGGTCCGCTCACACATGCAGCATGGAATGCTGCATGGTAAAGGCATAGGGAGCCAGCCTATCGTCGAGCGCGATCCCTGAGGTTGCTGTTTTGGTCGATCAGGCAGCAGATCATCGTGAGCTTCGCTCAAACGACCAACGTCAGGACCTTCCATCTCCTTCTACTTCATACGTGCGCGTTTGCGATGTATGATAGCTCTGTGTTGTTCTGCATTTGCACAACGGAGGCGTTGTGAATCTGATTCAGGATGTTCTGATTGTGGCGACAAGCGGAAAGCAGTTAATTAAGACGGAAGTGATGTCGTCAAAGCGACGCCAACCGGAAGCATTTGTTCAGTTCATCGCGTCCCCTGGCCACGGCAGACAGCGGCGCGCCACGAACGTCTGTGCCGAGCGCCCACGGACCTAAGTAACATTATATCATACGCGCGACCTGCGCGCAACTACGTCCACGATTGGGACGCATTGCCCGATATCGCCGGGACCCTCGGCGTCCATCAGATCGACTCGAGAACACAGTCTACGACAGCGCAGCGCTTCTCGACAACGACGGCGGCGATCGCTTCCGCGAACGTTTCCTGCAGCTCTTCGAACCTGCCCACGCGACGCCCCCATGCGCCGCCGGCGGCAGCAGCTATCTCGGCGTAGTCCGGCGCCTCCGGCCCAAAGCCGACGGTTAGGTTGTCGCCGGCCAGTTTGCTTCCGAGCCCGTGCGGGTAGACACCAAGCATCGAGAGCTTGGGAGACTGGACGACGAGGTTGGTGAGAGAAGCAAGCATGGGCGGTGGGGTTAGTCAAAGGAGCAGACATGAGGAGAGGATGGACGCGATACCTTCCATCCACCATTGTTGAGGACGATTGTCAAGAAAGGCTATGAATAGGTACACTGAGCACGCATATCATGTTTAGGATGAACCGATACTCACTGTGTTGTACTTCCTTGCCATCCAGTACGCCGAGCTGGGAGCCCCGAAAAGGTAACTGCCATCGCCAACGATGGCTACAATGAGGTCAAATTCCTTTCCGGCCACTTGGCCACCCATATTTGCCCCAACCGCAGCGCCTAGCGCCCACCCCAACGATGACCCGCCCGAAGATATGATTTCGCCTGCTCGCTCGGGACGCATGTGCGTCCACACGAATGCATAGTTGCTGATCGCCTCGTTGAGGATGATGATGCGCTGTCCTTCGCTGGGAGTATGCTCGCGCACCGCGTGACGTAGGACATGAAGTAGATTCGGCACGGTGAACGATCCATCCTCGGGAAGTGTTGTTTCGAGCGTGTCGATGTTAGCGACCCATTCATCGTGCCGCGCTCGCAAGCAGTCGAATCGTTGAGCTACAATCTCGCTGACATCTCCCGAAGTGGTTTTCTGATCGTTGACGAAAGTCAAGATCTGGCCGACAGCCGTCTCTGCATCCGCGCTGCAGATGATCTCGGCGTCAACGTGAGCAAAGCCCATTCCCAGCTTGAGAGGATCCCCCGAGTCGAGGAGGAAGACTCGCGCGTTTGATCGCGGTTTAGTCCCGCGGCTCTGGATCCATGGCACGTCACAGTCCAGGATGAGTATGGTATCGGCCGAAGCGATCGTTTCTTGCATCTCCACTGAAAGGATGCCGAAGAATGTGCCTTGGTAGCAAGGATGGGAAAAGGGGAAGCAGACGGTAGATGGGCACGAGACGCAAATGGGTATGGCTAAGATATCGACCAGGGCCGTGAGATGCGCAAACGAAGCGCTCTTAGAGCGCATCCGCGAGGTGATAATCAGCGGTGTTTTAGCTTGGATCAACGCTGAGGCGATCGTCTTCGCATCTATTAAGACATGAACATCGATAAGGATGTGCAGGACCAGGAGGAAGCCGTATTACCTTCTGGAGACAGCCCCGCGGGGGAGACAGAAGGCCATGCCTTCCTGCTCAGTTGAGCATTCATGACTTGCTCGTTGACCTCTTCTTCCATGGCTTCCCGCCGAGCCCAGAGATATATCGGCCCCCGGGGCTCGCTCGTGGCACTTCCAGGCAAGCTTGAGCAGGCAACGGCGTTAAAGGCGAGTTGATGCTCACATCTGCAGGCCGCGCATCACAGCCTGCGCAACGTTCCGACCACTATGAATCTCATACGTCCATCGCATATATTGCCGAACGATAGCGGACTGATCAGGTATATCTGGGGAAGTGACATCAGTGGGTCTGGTCCAACATTCTCAAAGGGAAGACACGAGAGAGCGTTCTCGAATGGTACAAAAACCGGAACGAAAGCGAACAGCCATAATTCGATCCCTACCTTGTAGCCACATGATCCATTCATTCCTAGACCCTTTAAGCTCACCATCCGAGCTATGTGCGGAGGCACCAGCGAAGATTATGACGGGTATTCTACCCTTGTCGACGTTATGGACGGCACCGCCAAGCGACTGATTGGACGGCCCATATCAGACATGAGATACGCCTTAAGCCAGTGCGACTATACGTACCTGAGTACCAACATCAACATGTACTATCACTGCTGCGGGGTTCCCCGTAATCTGGGCATATCCCTGCGCTGCGCTGAGCGCGACCATCTCGTTCGGGCAAGTAATGATCGTAGGTATTGTCCTCCCATCCGTACTTTCTCGTCGTTGCCGTGCCAGCTCCTCCAGCATAGCAGGGTGATCCGAGCCCCAGTTGACGAACGCATGTGTGACGCCGGCACGGGTCAAAGTCGCTAAGAACACGGATGTTGTTGTGTACATTGCACAGGTCTCCAGTCAAGCATGATAACAGCTGCGTCCATTGTATATAGGGCATCCAATCGCTGGGAGAATGGTCAGGTGTCCCGAGTAGTTGTTCGAACTGGTGAGAGTCAAAGCCAAAAAGAGTCGGAGTTTAAAAGACAGTTATCGTCCGGAGGTAGACGCTTTCAAAGGCGTGTGAACAGCGGCATGAGGCATGTGAAATGCGACAGTCTTACTGTGTTAAACAGACGCATCCCCAACCTTTCTCCCTATCACGCCTCAGGTCAGCCGTTAGTGGTGTATGCTCGAGGCATTCTGTGCAGGCGTATCTGCAGCCGAACTTTATGCGGTCGTCAACTTGGAATCATGTCATTGGAACCGCTCCATCTTCCATTCGAGTTACGTTGGATACATCCTGGGCGATTAGCGCAGCGGCCGAGGATATCGAACGCGAATTGGAGCTGATCAGCACCTACACCGCTCGCCTTCAGACTCTCCGGACGCGTCGCAATCTTCTAGTCTGCCTACCCCCAGAGCTGTTCGAGCTCATCTTTGATGAGCTCGAATACTAACTCGAGCACGCATGGGTTGACCATCTCAACCTAAAGGCAACGATGTAGTCCTGCGCGCTCGTATGCTCGGCGCTCTTACCGTACTCCAGACGCCGCTTGTTCTCCTCCCTGCGACTACACAGACGTCGCAATGTTATTGACGCTCACGCATGCTACAAACGCTCGTCGATTTCACGCGATCTCTCTATTATGTGAATCCCCGCTCCCGAACCGTCCCCGTATAACCGATGGTACTCTGCGAGCGAAGCTCCAGGGCTGTTGTCATTATGCGGGCGGTGACACGGTTAGAAATCCTGGGAGGCACATTTCTCGAGCTACATCCACCATACAACGGCTTGATATCTTGCGTTTTACTCCTAATATCACAGCTGGTACTGCGGGGCTTTCACGGAACTCTGCTATCACTACACGCTATCATTTCCAGCTGCCCCCATCTCGCTCACTTGGTATGATCAACTGCCAGATCGTCGACGGAGTCGAAGTTCACCATCATGATCTGTTTCCATTATTTCTCGATTCGCTCCACGTAGAATTCCGGGGATTGGCTGTCACAGACCGCCACTACGAAGAGAATCTCATACCCTGGCTATGTGAACTCATACAACCAAGCGTTATACGCTCACTTGTCTATGCGCCCCCTAACAAAGAGTGGGAGAATCCGTCGGGGTGTCTTCCGACTATATCTCCGCATCTGAAGGCAGCGATAGGTGTGTTTTGTTTTACTGTGGGAGCTACTGAAGATTGCTAAGCAGTTCGTATATCAGACACACTCATCCGTCACAGACACCCCATCGAAGCTCTCACGCTGTATATGGCTGGACCCTTCACTCTCATGGGTGATATTGGCCCGATGATCGAAACCGTAAGAGCTCTGCGGCTTTCGACGGTGACATTGCGAGTCCTACCCAGCGGAGATTTTCAATTATACATCGAAATGTCACACGTCTACGACCTTGTCGGCATCCTTCTTGATTCTTCCGTCCATCTGACATGTGCGATACGGGTTGAAACACGCACACTCCGGTTTGCAGCAGGAGCTATGGTGATTAACCAACTCCAACTTCCCGAGGACCCGCATAGCAAGTCTACGGTTGCGACGCGGTACTCGGATCGTGATACGGTCGCGCAAGTGCGCATCTGTACACGTCAACGTTCGACCGGCATTCATACACCAAGGATACGACGAGATGGTTCTACCCCAGACAATCACGCTCAATCTCGAGTTTCGCGACGACGAGTCCTATCGCGAGAAGGCCAATCTACCTGCTCTCGTATTCAGTGTTGGGGTAGGTACAGACATTCCTTTCTTACAGACAAGAATATAATTCTTCTTTTGTACCCAGGACGACAGATATCAGATTGAGATGGAATAGATTCATCCAAGCCGGATCGCTGCTAACGCTATAAGAACATGAACATTGGACTCTTCATTTATCTCCGAGTTTGTATCTGTATCAACGCCATATGAAGGATTCAGAATAGTCGAACGGCCACCTTTGAACGATTCGATGGCGCGTAGACGCCTCGGCTGACTGGGCGAATCAGTGTTCATGGCCGGGCTGTACGCGCTGTTTGCCCGCCGGTGGCACCGACCAGCCACCGGTGTAAGCCTCTCTCCGCTGCCTCGACGATCTCTACGCGTCCTCCAACATGGCCTCACGAACAGAACTCCTCGGATGGCTAAATGACCTACTACAAATCAACTACACGAAAGTCGAGCAATGTGGCACGGGGGGCGCGTATTGTCAGGTCATCGACTCGATATACGGTGCGTCTGATTCCGTCCATCACGATCGGAGGGACTCACACCGATACTCCTCTTGTGACCGCGTTGTCTGCGTGGATCTTGGTGCGATATAGGCGATGTGCCAATGACGCGCGTCAAAATGAACGCGAAACACGAATACGAGTACATCGCCAACTTCAAGGTGCTCCAGAACATCTTCAAGGCGAAGAAGATCGAAAAGGTAAGCGAGCCCGCCTCCACGCCCTCAAAGTTGTGCGTGGACTGCCACAGATACTATATCTGACGTTTTCCCGGTCGCGTGCCCCCCTTCCAGCCGATACCCGTCGAGAAGCTCGTCAAATGCAAAATGCAGGACAACCTCGAGTTCCTGCAATGGATCCGGCGGTTCTGGTCCGAGAACTATCCGGGCGACCTCGACAACCCGTCCTCGACGTACGACGCCGTCGGCCGCCGCCGCGGCGCGCCGGCCGACACGCCAGCCACGATTGCACCACTCGCCACGACCACACGAACCGGCGGCGGGCTGACGGCCGGTGCGGCGGCGCGGACGGGCGGCAAGACGCCGCTCGGGCGTCGGCCGGGGAGCACGCAGCCGAACCAGAGCGAGGCGGTGTTGGCGCTGCAAGCGCAGCTGCGGGAGATGGGCACGCACATGGAGGGGCTGGAGAAAGAGCGCGACTTCTACTTCGCGAAGGTGGGCACACGAAATTGGCATTTTTTTCGCGATGTGCGCGACTTTCTGATGTGTTTTCGTCGCGTTGCAGCTTCGCGATATTGAGATCTTGGTGCAGCAGCAGCTAGAGGTGCTCGAGGGACAGGGTCAAGACGATGAGACGCTCAAGGAGATCCAGAAGATTCTTTACTCAACAGAAGTACGTCTGAGCGGGCATCGCAACCTCCATTTCGTTGCTCACGGTCGTCGTCACATCGTAGGATGGCTTCGAGGTACCCGAAGGCGGCGCCGTAGACGAAGAAGAAACGTTCTGAACCTGAATTTCACAACGTCGGCGCCGATTCCAATCCCTCAAGCCCCCGCTCCGTCCGGGGCTCTGCGCCCATGTACATTTCTCATCTCCTCCGTCGTCGCAGTGTTGTTTGCTCTTATCAGCTAATCGGAGCATGCGGAACATATAGGTTCATCCTTTAGTCACCCTCCTTTCCATACTAAGTACATCCACCATCGTTGCTATCGTACCCTAGAAACATTTGATTAAATTGAGGAAGTCACTTGGATTCCGTCATCCCCCCTCCGTCTCTATCAATCAGTGACTTCACGCGCCGGCAATGAATAATGTCAACAACAATTGAATTGCGCGATCCTACTAGTGCCACGATGGGAGGACGTGATAGTACTGAATAGTGGATACATTCGGCCGAGTATCGGGCACCGGGGTACATACAGAATAATTTACCGTATTTGTGAGGGTCGTGTCAAGATCGTAATTCGAATTCGTCGGGATGTCATACTCTAGCTCGAAGGTCTCTGCTGACAGCTACGCGTGCTACGAGGAGGAAAACGGATCCGAGGACCATCGTCGTCCCCGCGAACGCGATCGGAGCGGTGTAGTCCATGTGATGATCCCGTATGAGCGCGCCTGCCAACGGCCCGCCCGTCAGCGCCCTGGAAACCCAGCGTCATTCAGTCATGAGAAAAGACAAAAGGATGGACCACACTTACGGGATGGAGAGGATGGAGTACAGAATGCCGAGGCGGGTGGCGACCTGGCCTGGCTCGGAAATTTGCGCCACGCAGGGCGTGACGAGCGCGGTGAATGCGCCGGAGCAGAAGCCGTACGCGATCGCGAAGGCGAGCACGCCCGCCACCGTACGCGCCGTCAGCCAGAGCACGAGGCAGGCGAGCCCCGAGAGAAGCGCGGAGGGCGCAAGGAGGGTGTAGCGCCCGAGGGAGTCCGCGAGGAGCGCGGGCAGAATCCGGCCCAAGACGGAGCCCGCGTTGAGGGCGGGCAGGACCGCGGAGACGAGGGAGGGAGAGAACGAGAGCGCGTTGGCATAGTCGACGATGTAGATGTTCGGAATGAATATGCCTGCATAAGGAAGAGGTTCGGGGTGAGATGATGGGCCACGGGATGCGTGTTTGGTCGGAAAAGCGAGACGTACCGAAGCAAGTGAAGACGGAGCCAACCGTGAGCCAGAAGAACGGCGTGGCTCTGCGCAAGCTGACATCGCACGGCGCCCATCTCCGATGGGGCGCTTCTCCTCCTCCTTCCTCCTTCTTCTCGGCGTCATCTGAGGAAGCCGGTGAAGGGATGACGGCGGCGGCGGTCGGGGTGACGGTTGAGGTTTCGCATTTGCGGACAGTGAGGAGGACGACGATGCAGCAGGCGGTCGTAATACCGGCGCTGACGAGCGCCGTAGTGCGCGCGTTCGTGGCGTGGAGCAGGTGCGAGTTGATCAGCGGGAACACGACGCCGCCCGCGCTCGACCCTGAGATGGCGATCCCGAGGGCGGTGGCGCGTCTTCTGGAGAAATGCGTGGATACGGCAGCCAGAGAGGGATAGAATCTGCGGAGACAAAGCGAAGGTTGATTCTGTCAGCGATAGTCTCGACGTGATAGACAGCGTCTCGGAGATGGAAGGAAGCATGTAGGGATTGAATGGAATACTCACATCATGCCAGTGCCGAGGCCGAAAAGAAAGCCTTGTCCGAGGATGAGCTGGTAGTATTGCGTGGAGAGGCTTGTCGCGACGAGGCTGAAGAAGCATATTGACGTGCCGCCGACCATGACAATGAATGGCCCGTGCTTGTCTGACACTCGGCCGACGAACGCTCCCTACGCGCGAAGTGGTTAGTAACGAGGTAGGAGTCAGTGCTGAGGATACTTACCGAGAAGAACCACATCCATAGCTGCGCCGATCCTATCCATGCGATAGTCGACGGCGAATAGCGCGAAAGGTGTGGGTGCGAGGAGTAGTACGCTTGGTACGTTCCGAAGGACGTGATCTGCCCAAAGGTGGCAAACAGACCGACGAAAGCTCCAAAGACACATAACCAGGCGCGCAGTCCACCATCGCAAGGCCCGGTCACTTGAGATTCCACCTGAGACGGTGTTGCAGATCCACCCGCAGTCGCATCGGGAGCAGGTGGTACGGGTTTTTCTTCCATCATAGGCGCGGCGGCAGGCGCGTTCATCTTGAGATCGTGCGCATGCGCTGTGTACGGCGGAGGCGAGAGCGACGGGCGGTCCATGTCCACCGCGGAACGTGGACGACTCCACCCGGTCGCGCGCACCCTTTATACCTATCTCGACCCGCACAGCGGTGTGCACGGACGAGAGGCGGAGCCCGGTCGGGACGTGACTCGTGGGCGCGCACGCCTCCTTCCTTCCATTTCGTAGTTCGATAGCTCGAGCGACGGGGTGAGATGCGCGAGCAGCTTGATGAAATAGGATCACGTATCACAGAGGCGAGGATCGGCTTCTGCGCGCTCGCCGGAACTTGAAGCCATTCAGCGCGGGTGACGCGGACGAGTGGGGATGGATCGCATCGATAATTCTTGGATCACGTCCAGCTATGGGATGGACGGGCTCCGACGCGACATATGATGGTGAAATGCGAATGTTGGGACTTGTGCAGCCTGTGCAGGTTGACTGGATATTGGCATTATCGGGCTGTGCCGCAGAGCCTCCGCGTTCGTCGGGGGCGATGCGATCACGCCCAGCGCGTCTGCGCTTGCGCGTAAATAACCCCACCCGTTATTCCGACAGCAGGACTTGGGCAGGACCAGTGTTAGCTCGTAATCGTGGCTGCACATGCCCGCGTATGACATATGGAGCCAGTTTCTTTCGCAGTCGCCGCCGTTGACCGCGTAGGTAGGTAGTAGGTAGTAGGTAGTATTAACCGGCGCGGTCCCAATACCGGAACAGCCGGGCCCCAGGGCCTCGCACTAGTGGCGAGCCGGGATATGTTAGTGCAGAGCCTCGGGCTTGTCGAAGGTTCGAACGTGTTCTGGGACATGTCTTGTGTTATTCCGAGAGGTCCAGTGCGATCTGCCCGAGCACACCATCGCATGGACGTCCAAACCGAGTTCCTGAAGCGCATCCGATAAGTACCTCGGCCATAGATCGCGTGGTAAAGGTTGCTATAGTTGAATGAAATTCAACGAAGCTCCGAAGTAGCCCTCCCATGAATCACGCCAGATGAGTGAGAGTTTTCAGGCCCTCCATGCCAGCGTGGCAACATGGGCGACCGGGGGCAACCAAGTCACTTCTGCCCACCAGGACGACCGACTCGACGATCGTTCACTGCGATATGTCCTCTGAGCTCGTCGACGCGATGAAGATAAGGAGTTTACGTCCCGAGAAGACCGAAGCGCCCGAGGTAGCTTTTGCCTCGCGCCACAACTGGCCTCGTCCTCCGGGATCTGTTAGCTCGCTGTTAATCTTATAAGGACTCGCCTCATTCACCCCGGACGGATTCATCTCGCTTCTGCCTCGTTGTGCGCAGGGACACATCTGCGAACGCGTACGATCGACTTGCAGGCCTCAGAGCCGAAGGCGGGAGGATCGCCACAAGTGAGTCGACCCCCGCCACTTAATGTTTCGTCGGTGAAACGCTGGTCGTTTCGCGGGCGTATATCGCATTGCGGCCATCTACCCTGACGTCTCTCCGATGCTCGGACGTAACTCCAGAGCACGACAGCGAGTGTGGTTCCCTAGATGATATCGCGTGCATACGTCCTTTCACGTCGCTGACCTATTCATCTGCTCTTAGGCCACCTTCTAGAGCCATTGCTCGTCCTCTCGACGCGTCAGCTGGCCTTATCTTTATCTCATCGACCAACGGGCAAGCCCACGCGAGCGCGTTCAGAGCCTAGTGGTGAGTTCCACCATCTCGTCACCGCACCGTCGGGATGCGACCGGCGACGGGGCCAATACGGCTCCCGGGCACGATCTGCCACAGATACGGCTCTCTCTGGGCTTGAAGCTGCCCTCGGCATTGTAGCCGAGGTCGCTGTGGTCCCGCGTGACTCTGTCTCGAGCGCGTCTGTGCGCATACAGATCGGATGGTCTGAGATGGGTGTCTGACGGACACCATACAATGCGGACCGCGCGAAGGCGCTCGTGCGTTCGCCCTTTGGTATCACATTGCTCCGCTCGGATCTTTGGGTTCTTGGGCCTGGGCGCGTCGCTTCCTGAATTCATCGTCCTCAGGGATATCGCTCGACGCTGCAGAGACGATGACGCCTCGCCGCGTTCTCAGCTCCTCGTTACCTTCCACGCGTCCATAATTGGTTGCGACCGCGTCTGCGTGGTTCGCGCGACCATCGAGAGCCGTGTCGCTCGCTTCGCGCGCTGCACCCGTCATCTGACGCGTCGATCTCCAAAAGACGCTACCCGGCGGTTATGCTTGGCACACGTCGCCCTTCGTCGCGCCCGCTAACCTGTAATTTACCTTTCCCAGGGACGGACGGCCCGGCCTTCAGCGAGCCGCGCTCTGAGACGGTGAGCTCCTCACCTCCTGTCGCGACCATGCAAACGCCTTCCTGTCACGCAGCCCGCGCGGGAGGTTACGGCCCGTGATAACGGCTCCATCTGCTGCCACGCGAGAGCTTCATGTACCCGCATCGTTTATGCTTCCGCTCCCGGGGTCTATATTTTACAGCGTGCTGACCCCTTATCTAGCGCAGGACAGGACCAGCGGAAGCCAACGCGCCAGTACCGCCGCTCCAGACTCACAAAGCCGCCCTCCTCAAATCCGCGTCACGATAATGCCCATCGACGAGCTCCCTCCCGAAGTCTGCGACCGCATCGCGCACTTCGCGCCGACCTGGCCTTCCCTCGTTGCGCTGAGCGCGACTTCGCGCGCTTTCCAGCGCGCGTCCGAACCGCGCATCTACCAAACCGTGCACCTCACGTCGCCCTTGCCTGCGCTCGGCGCCTTCCGCACGCTGGCCAGCACCCCGCGCGTTGCCGCGCTCGTACGCACCTTCTGGCTCTCGCTCGAGCGCGCGCCGCACCAGCCATACCCGCCCGCGCTCCCCACGGACTGGTGGACCGCGCTGCGCGACGCGCTCGCGGCCGTGCACGGCGTCACGACCCTCGTCCTCGTCGACCCGCGCCAGGCGAACTCGTGGGTGCTCGACCCCGCGCGCGTGCGCCTGCCCGCGCTCCGAGACGCGCGTCTCCGCCTCGGCTGGAGCGCCGAGACCGTCGCCTTCCTCGCCGCGCACCCGACGCTCCGCAGCCTCTCGCTGCCCGTCAACCCGCAGCAGATCTTGCAGGACGCTCAGCCCGCGGCGCTTTCGCGCGATGCGCTCCCTGCGCTGCAGATGTTCGACGGCCCGCTGCGCGTCGCGACCGAGCTCGTCCCTGGCCCGTCGCCTCTCACGCACCTCCAGGTGCTGTGCGGCGCCCCTGGGCTGGAGGAGCCGCTGGTGCGGTGGATGCCTAAACTCGGCGGCTTGTCGAAGACGCTGCGATCGCTCAGCATCTTGGGCCTGTCGCACGCGGCTGCAGAGCGGGTCATGGAGCTCGCGGTCACGCATTGCCCGCAGCTCGTGCACCTTGGCATGATCAGTCTGCCCGTCGATTCGGTCAGTGCTTTCGCGCGTGTTAAGCATCCGATGGAGCTGACGCGCTTGGCGGGACGTTTCATCAGCGCAACGCCTTCCATCGGCGCCTGACACGGCTTGGCTCCCTTCAGCAGCTGGAAGTAGATATCACCTATTGGAAGCCTCCGCCAAACGGGCCCTACCAGCGAGCGTTGGCGATGGAACTGCGCACTTTCTGCCCGACCCTGCGGAACGTCGTGTTCTGGCTGGAGCACCACCGCTTTTGGTGGTCATTGGAGGAGGATGTGCCAGGAGAGCCTGAAATCTGGCTGGACGAGCATCTGCAGCACCGTAATCCGTTGCAGGAGACGTTCTGGAAGATGTGTTGAACACCAAAGTGTGGTAGGAAACTACAGAGCGTCGAAGTCGCGATTGGCAAATCGTAAACTGTAACAATTGACAATGTAGTTGTATTGCGTAGCAATGTATCTTAGGTACATCATTTCCTCGAATCATGCTTCTGTCTCGCTTAGTTTAGCGAAGCTCGCTCCAACCCGTGTTTTCCGTTGCGACCCTCCCAGGACCTCCCGAGTATACGCCGTTTTGCACGAGCTCGAGAGAAGGGATCTTCAGATCCTGCGTCTGATCGCCCAGCGCCCACAAGCTGACGGCGACTGTGTTCTCGCCATCGTAATTCAGGATGCCTTCGTGTACAGGGAAAAACGTCTGTGGACCGAGGTTTGCAACGCGTTTGCCGAGCTGCCAGCCATTGACGTAGAGTTGAGCTGGATCATGGTCCACAATGAGTTACGTCAAGGAGACCTGCACAGACTCTGGGCAACCGTTACGCACCTCGGTAATGCCCGACATTCGACGAGAAAACAAATGCGAGGGGAACATCATGTCCGGCCGGAATTGACAGCGTGAACGTCGCCCGGAACCAGCCAACCTACAAACGTGTCATTTCCGAGGCACATTCAGTGAAGACGCCAGTGATGACATACACCAGGCTTGGAGATTCCCTGCCACGGTGTACGTTTGGTCCAGTGTGAGTCATCAAATCCGGGCAAGTGCCAACCCATACGCTGACGCCAAATTTAGCACCCAGGTTCAAAACATGATCGATTAGACACCTCACCTCGCCATACAGTCCACCTAGATGATAAACCGTGTCACATTTCTCGTGAATACATCAGCGGCGAATAACGCACCTTCATTGAGGATTTTGCGCGTCTTATCGGGATAATCCTCTCCACCTAGGTTTCCGGCCACCTTCCAACCGGTGAATTGGTTGCCCTCGTCCCTACCCTCCAGATAGTAACCCTACTCAGCGGTTAGACAAGTGCCTTCGGGATGACGTTGTCGCCGTACCTGGATGCCGCGAGGCATCTGGATGTCAAATTGCCGTCCACCGGGCTAGGTTGGTTGTTAAATAGGGAAAAACGGAGCGCAGGACTACCGAGGCTTACCGTACAGCAGACGACCATCCCTGCCAGGTTGTAACCCATATGACTATCGGACGGCAAATAAGTAATGCACGAATCACAGGTCGACGTTTGCTGACTCTTGTAACACGGTGACGTAGTTGCTACCATTTCGCAGCATATCGCGCGTGACCGGGAAGGATTCGTTGTTCGTCATGGTCAGGTTATCCGAAGGCCCGAGATAGACGTCGTTGAGCCAAATCGAGGCGGCGAAGTTGATCCCACCAGATATCGAGACGTTCACTGCGGTCGGTACAGGCAGGTCGTCCGAATGTTCGAACGTTCCCCTCCACAGAAGATTGCCCGCCTAAAATGAGAGATCGTCATCATCGTCATCATCGGGGACTCTCATAAAGCCGAATGCTCACATGGAAACCATAATCCGAACCGTATAGAATCCACGGACCACCGTAATAAGGGGGGAACGGGTTTGTCGTGCTTGTGTGGTCGGCACCGACGAGCGTAGAGTCGTCGAAATCGGTCTGGATCTCTGGGAGGGAGTCCGCATAGCGCCAGGTCACCTTGGCCAGGTCGGGGATGGACCACGTCTGTTTTGGGCCGTGGAGCCGAGCCTGCAAAGCACCCCAATAATTCTTCTGCACCCCGCGTACGGTTTCCCCATTCCACACAACTGCGTTAACGGAGCTGGGGGCCAGTACCGTTAAGGTCGTCGTCGCGTTCAGATCACCCCAAAGAGATATCGTTCCATGCTCTATGGTCGCATTGCGGACTAGATAGGGCCCGCTGATCAAGACGGGGGTGGAGGCGCCGAGGTCGGCGTAGTTCTTGAGCGGTCCTGTGGACGAGGCGACCGTGGGCAACCACAGCTGAGTCGCGGCTGCGTAGTCTACAAGGAGCAGAAGAGTGCTTTGCCCTCCTTGCGTGAGCTGGATGGACGTGATGCCTTGTTTCTGTACGTAGTTCAGGATGAAGGTACCCTTTCCGCGAGCAATACGTCAATTCAGATCGCCTATTCGACGCAGTACAGGACATACCTGGCGATACGCAGTCTTCGGGGTGGTTGTCCCATGGATGCTGGCGCTGGGTTTGCTATCCCATGCCAGAGCTACCTCGTATGTGCGCCCGACTGAACCGTAGGCGACCAATACGTCGGTGTTGTCTAAGACGAGCTGAGTGAATAGGGATGCAGTCGAGTACGCCAACAGAGAATGCTTCCCAAATGATAGGTTCGTGCTGTAACGAAGGTCAGGGTCAGTGTTCTAATGGGATCGATATTAGTACCCACGACGTGATGACGGAATCCCTGCCTGGAATCGCCACTTGGCCCCCCAGCTGCGGGACGGTGACATTGCCGACATCAAGCGAGATGCTTTTGTCGTCCCTACAAAGAATGTCAGAGCTAGCCGTATCCTAGAGTATGAGGTTTGCGCACCAATCGCTCACATTAACATGCCTCGAGATGAACCATGCAGCACCTGTATCCGGATTCTGGAGGTGGGTAACGTCGATTCCGGTATGCGTAGTGTTGTCCTCGACTGGATGACAGGCGAAACATGAAGTCGACCCTCCGGACAGCAGGAAATGCTCTTACCAACGAGGTTCGTCTTTCTGAAATCAGGAAAACTGCGCAGGAACATGCTCTGCAGCTTCAGTTCGCCATACTTGTCGTTGAGCTCGCGTGTCTCGGATATCGCAGCAGAGTAGTCCTGTGAAACAATTAATGACAGTCACGAAGACTATTTGACCCAAACGGACATAGGACGTGATCGCGGCTGGCACGTAGCACGAGAGATCAGCATTACGCCTCGCGAACTACAGAAGTTCGCTGACCGGGATAGGGTAGTTGTCCCCAATTGGTGCCTCCCTAGCAAGGTATTCCATCAGGCCATGTGTGCGGAAAGGCAGGGTCCAACATACGTAGACCATGTAGAAGTTTTCCTGGATCGGGTTAGCGCATCACGCAGACGAAAGTTGATACCGCTTACGGCCGTAACACCGCTCGCCCAGAGTTGATGATAGAACACGCGCTGGAAGCTAATGATGCGTTAACCGGGTGGAGCCCCTCACTACAATCATCAATATCTGTCGGCATCTAGCGCTCACTTGGGATTCGTTAGCTGATGGCAACCGGCGTAGGTCTGATTAGACGCCCATTTGAGAAACGAGCCGCCCTGGAACCTAATGCGCATAGCGAACGGAAACTTTTCGTCAGAAGGAGGAATTCCCTATCCGTGCAAAAAACAGACTCGGGGATCATGAAAGGCTCATCGGGAGTGACACTTTCGTGGTAGCTTCTCCAAGTGGTCGGGATGTCTCGCCATCGCGTCGGATTTGAACAGTCAAAACCTAATACCATCAAGGATTAGACGCTCTTCTGATCCACAGACCGAACATGGATCACTCAGCGGGTACGCGTCAAAGCCTTCCAAACGAGATGAGCTTCCAAATCTACAACTGCCAGATAAACACCTAAAGTACCATATATGTTCGTACTGTCGACCAGATTACGATACATTCCGGGATCGTTGTCCATGGTCGGGACGACCTGTATGTCACGTAAATATCACGTTTGTCCGAGATATGAGACGCGACGCACGACCCCCAAGCCGCGGAAAGTATCCGCCAATTGATCGAAGTACTCGTTGATACCAGCTGGACAACAGGTGGTATCAGATATCGAGAAAGTAGGCACAAATGCCTACTCACGCCCGTTGTAGTATTCGTTCTCGATCTGTACCATGATCACCGGGCCGCCATTGGTGACCTGGTTGTCGGCGATGATCCTACCCAGAGCATTCACCTATACTCCGCGTCAAAGTCGTTGACGCTCGGGAGAGGAGTGATTACGCACGTAGTCCTTCCATGCATTATGATAGAGGGTGTCATTGCTTCGCATTTCTCCGTTATAGGTGAACCAGGTATTGTGATTTGGCAGGGTCAAGACATGACCTGGAACGCCGCCACCAGTAGTCTCAGCGCTGTGTTGACAGGGGTTAGTCAGAAACCATTTGCAATAAGACAGCACGCACTTGATGTATGGCCCCGGTCTGGCAATAACGAATAAACCTGCCTCTCTCGCAGCGTCCAACAACGCCTGTAAGTCGTTGATCCCCTTCAGGTCGATCTCGCCCTGCTTCGGGTTGATCATCGCCCAGTGTGTATAGATGCTAATCGTGTTCAGTCCCGCGGCCTTGTACTTCTGCAGGACGTCCGTCCACAGACCCGGCACGGGCAGCCTCCATTGGTGGAACTCGCCAGACTGGATGAACACCCGCGAGCCGTTGACAAAAAAGCTGTACTTGTCCCATCCGACCTCGTTCGTCAGACCGGTCGTGTTGATGAAGTCCCGTGGGTGATTAAATCTCGAGGGCGGCGTAAGCCGCGCTGGTACGGCGCAAGCGAGTGCGAGGAGCCCGTAGAGGATGCAGAAAGGTCGCAACATTTGCATTGGACTGGATCACATACATGACAAGGTTTTGCTATATAGCAGGCAGTTAGAGAGATGGCGGGCCGGCTGCATGGATAGTCCCGCGCATGACCCTGCATCGCAATCCGACTCACTCAGTGCGATCAATTGCGATGCGATATCAAGGTGAACGAAGCGGGATGGCGCGTTGAGTGCGCGCGCACCTGGCGTCATGTTCGGCGCGGCGATGGAGGTATTGGTCACATGGGACCCTCGTGCCCGCCGGCCGTCCGAATAACGACGACGAAGGTCTGAAGGCAGGCTTGCGACGCGACTTCTTCGACCAGGATAACTAGAGAACGTGTTCATCAATCGCAAACATTCAGGCCTAGGGTGTTGAACATACTCATGACCCAGCGCTCAAACCTTTGGCCAGTAGTGCGGTTAGCCGAAGACTGGGGCCTGCGTCTGATGTTTTACCGCGGTTAATCCGGTTCCAATATGTCGCTTGTCGGTCGAGACATAAACACTACTCAGGCGCGCGCCAGGGCACATTTTCGACTCCTCGGAATTGATGGCGACCACGGACGGCACCGGGGGGGTATACAAGGTCGGGTCTCTGGCTCTGACTCTGAGCTGCCGTAGCCTGAGCCTATCTGGAAGCCCTGAGCAGCAAGAGTCAAGGTACTGTAATCGTCCGTGTTCGTTGGATTGTCTGAGGAACACGTTGACTTAGCAGAGAGAAGATCCGAGTTCGTCGTCGACGGCTTGGACGACGGCAGGTTGAGGGCACACGGCAGGCAGGCGGCAGAGCATCACGTGACATAAATCCAAATCGCCAACGGCTTCTCCTTTCGCGAAGACAGCGCTAGCTTGTAAGCAGTTTCGCGTATGTTTCATGGATGATGAAAATAATGCTCGCCTGTAACCAGGGCCGCTACCAGGACGCCATGGAGAAGGCTATCAGGACACTATGGAGAATGTGGCCCTTATATAGGCTTAACTTCAACACAGCTGCAGCGTTCTTCGACTTGAAGTGCGAATGATTCAACCAGCGTTCCGGACGGACTGCTGGTCACCTCCGATTGGCATGGCCAATTGATGCTTCTCTCAGGCCCCGTAGAGGCGAGGCCCGCTTTTATTGGACGGCGAAGGCCCGTTTTGTGTAGGTCCAAGCACGACGACGTAAAGCTCGCCGCAACGCATTTCACTCACACCTCGCCTATGTAATCCGAGCAATTTCGAACCAGTTTGCCACTGCTTCTTTCAACTATCTTTTACGCCTCATATACCGGGCCCGACATGCTCTGCGTTTGCGCCCTCCCCGCTCCGCTCTTCTCTTTCCCGACCGCCCCTCGACGTGACATTCCATTGTGTACAGTTGAGGCATGGGTGCGTTCGATGCGTCGCTTGGGTATGTCTCCGGCTCCGTATTTCGAAGCTGTCCTGTCACTTCGCATCTCATCGCGCGTCTCGTAGTTCTATTCTTGTTGGGACATGGGTTGACTGCATGTTGTATATGTGGGAGATAACCATGGTGTGTGTCGTATCCTCATTACGAGGAGGTCTTCTTATGTCGTCGTCAGATATGGACCTGCTTCAGTCGATTCCCAAACGACCACATACTACTGAAGGCGACGATCTGGGCGTTGCTCGCCGTGGATACGGTCGGAGTGGCGGCCACCAACGCGACCGCGTATTTGGTCTGTACCGTCAACTCCGCATGTTCGCTCGCTTATGAATATGACTATACAGTACGTTGTCACGCATTGGGGTGGGTGATATACTTCGTTCGGAGTAACAAACGCTTATATGTTCTATCCTTGTCCACAGGCGACCTGGTGGGCATATCGAAAGAATACTGGTCATACCCTCTGTACTGCGTCGCCACTGCGTTCTCGGCGCTCATCGTCCAGTCGTTCCTTATATTCCGATTCTGGAACCTGTAAGCTCCGTCCGGTTTCTGCTCGAAGAGGATAAAGCTTATGGGTGCATTCATCCAGCTCTAAGAATCACATTCTGACCGCTCTCATTTGGTGTATCAGCTGGGCTGCTGTAAGGCGACCTCCCACACTTTCGTCCGATTTCATCGCTTATTTAACTGGGCTTCTATTCAGTGGGTCGCGGGCATCTACACGTCTGCGCTTCTTGTAAAATTTCCGTTCCTCACTCAGCGGGACAAATTTGTTACACCTGTGGCGTGAGTGTTCGAGCTTCCTCGTCGCCCTGATATTCCCTAACTGGACTGTCGCCTTACTGATAGCGTGTGGTTCGGTGAGTCGAATCGATTCCGGATCGGGGTTGTCTCTCAGTTGATTTATCCACAATTAGGATGCTCCACGGCTTGCGATCTGGCTATCACTCTTAGCCTCGTCTGGCAGCTGCGGAAGGTCAAGACGCCGTTCGCATCCACGCAAACGTTAGTCGATCCATCAATCTTAGTAGTCGACGGGTATCTCACACGAAAGTCTGCCGTCTCAGGTTGATCTCGCGTCTCACGAACATGGCGATACGCACGGGATGTGTGACTAGCTTCTTTGCGCTGCTGATCCTCGCGCTTTACGCCCAAGACCCGGCCGGCAGTAGTATGTTCTCCGCTTTCGTTGTTTCTTCTGTGCTTCCGAGTGGCTAACGCCTTGATCGTAGTCGCTGTGGCCTTCAACTCGTGCTTCGGTCGTATCTACGCCCTCACCATGATGTACAACCTCAACACGCGCGACTCCATCCGCCGCGCCGGTGCCAGCAGGAGCGGCGGGACGAGTGGGCAGAACGTCACAAACGGCAACGCCGCGATCGATCTGAGCAACATCCGTGAGCGCTTATATGTACTCGGCTTACGCCCGTGTCTGACGTTGTTTGTAGGTGTAGACACTCAGGTTGTCTCCGATTACGGCCGTCCGAGCAAAAATGGTCCTACCTATTATCCTGACCAGGTACAGTGTCATGAGCTCGTCCTACACTCGCGATGAAGCAGTTCTGATGCCTTGCATAGAACACCATCGGCGACGACCGCAGCTTCGGTTCGGAGCGGACGGCCAAGGCTGTTTGAGTCGACGCTATGAGTCGCATATGGGGTGGCCGATATGGTGTGAATATATAGATCATTTATATTCGAACCTTAATTGTGCATACTATTGGAATACTGCCCGTCGTTACGTGGCTGCAGCCAGCACTGTGCTTCGGTAGTTGGTGCGGTCGAAGCTCGCAGAGATGATATGGACGACTGGGTCATCAAATGACGTGCCGGCCTTTAGAGTGCCATTCCGCCATGACAAAGTTGAAGGGCACGGCTCAGCGAGAAGGCCAAAGATGCCCATGATTAGAGACGTTCTGTTTTCCAATAATTATTGAGATCCGGTTATTGAGATTCGCCAGATCTCATTACGTGGTTGCCGTCAGTCAGCATTATTGCGCTTCTCCCACGGTTGGTCATGTCGCTGCCATGGCGCGCGCAAGCATTGTGGTGAAGCTTTGCCATCGTACATATTCGCCATCCAGCGCAAGCACGATCCTCGCACCTTGATGGATGCTGTGACTGTCAATTTTGATGCAGGAACAGACAACACGGCGCAGCATGATATGCAGACCTTGACCCTTCGCAATCTCGTCGCCAGTCCACTCCTTCATCTTCCTCCGGAGCTCCTTGACCTCATCTTTGATGAACTAGAGGTTCAATTGAGAAGGGATGAATGGACCGGTACCAAGGGTCTTCTTGCATGCATGCAATCCTGTTCGTCGGTATGCTCCTCCCTCCGGCCCTTCGCTCGGAGCCGTCTCGTCTTTGACATCGCCCTCTCTGGTCGTAAATCCGCTATCCATGCCTCAAATTTTGCGTCCGCAGCCCCGGAACTCTTTCGAACAGCCCGATGTCTCACCCTTATAGAGATTCGGACGGGTATAGGCAGTCACTGGGGTACCTTCCCCGGTGCAAACGACATCCTGGTTTCTTTAGATCGCGTGCAGAGGATAGCGATTCATGCCGATGGAAACACTTTCATCACCCTACAAACACCCATACGCCATGCAATGCTAGAAAAAATGGCTCATATAACGGACCTGGCTTTGCATCGTTTCCACGGGACATTCGCCGCTCTCGCTTCCTTCATATGTCATTCCCCTCAGCTACAATCCTTAAAGCTCATCGAGTGCAGGTTCAAGATCAAAGGCAAGATCGACGTGGACAACCTTCCGAAGCCACATCTATCGCTCAAAAGCTTGGCCGCCCTATGGGAAGACGATCGGATATTTCCGCGGCATGACTTCAATGATGAGCTCGTTTCATGGCTATGCAGGTTGTGCTCACCCAATGCGTTGGAAAAGTTCTGGTACCAACTGCCATTTCATATCGATGACTTGTCGAGTCGAGCGAAAAACTTAGAGACGACGATGGAATACATGGAACATGTACTAGGTGAGCTATCCGCGAGCCCCCTGATTTCCGATGCATCGCTCACTGGTCTCCTCATAGGCTGCCTCGGCACACAAGCAGGATCCTTGCGAGACCTGAAACTGTTTCCGAACATGCCTCTGGAGAGCTTAGAAGACGTTCTTCCTACACTCCAAGATTTTGCGCATTCGTCCCACTTTTCGAATCTTGTGCTCAGCATCATTCCATGGTGGGCCAGGTTCCATATCGCGTCAGACGATATTGCACAGATCTGCCACTACCTCCTATGTTCTCCAGCCGACACACTTGTTACTCGGACCTTTGGAATCGAGTTGTCGTGGCCCGGTCCTCGAAGAATGCTGACAGTCGAGCTCCATCATCTAACTCCTGAAGAAGGTACAACAACGGTCTATCAGCGGCGCTACTTGGAGGACGGAGAAATCATCGTCGTTCGCGTTGATGAATGGAAAATAAGAGGGGTAGACTTGTTTTCGGATGATGCACGATGCGTCGTTGTGCGTCTCGAGACTATAGCACACCCTATCGGAAGAGGTGACTTTCTTTCGGAATTCGTTGCTCTCAGCTTTCAACTTCGGTGAAGTACGTGTTGTTTGTTCATACGTAGTCGAAGCAATACTGAGGCTGAATAACAGGTGTTGACATTTATTGCGTGTATGCACCCTAGTAGACCGGTCTGCTGAGCTATACAACGATAGAGCATATAGTTTTGACGCTGACGTCGATGTATGACTTCTTTCAATGAGCCACGTGCTGCTTGAGCATGTCCATATCGAGTTTAGCCAGCTCGCTGCTCAGGCTTTCAGCAGACTACATATAGCCACCCGGGGTGGGTGAGTTGACTCTACCTACCCTTTCCATCGAGATATCTGACGGGCTGTAAAGCAGTGCGTCGACGCACCAATGTCAGAGACCAACAGCACCAGTGCCGATGACCTCAATTCCAAAGACCAGGAAGGAGGCTCAGACGACGTCACACACCATCTCTCAGGATATGATATATCATTGGCTGCCCGCAACATCGCCAATAGCCCTCTGATCCGACTTCCTCCGGAGCTGCTCAATCGCATCTTTGAGGAGCTAGAGTTACAACTTGGGATCAACGAATGGGCTCGTTCGGAGGAGTTGATCGCCTGCCTGAAGTCGTGTTCTCACGTTTGTTCAGCGCTCCTACCCTTTGCTCGCGATCGCATCGTCCCCTACATCTCTTTATCCAGCGTAGACTCTGCCACCCATGCGCATCGCTTTTTGTCTGCCGCGCCAAATCTATACCGAACCATCCCTTCCCTAATGATCATGGAGGGACGAACAAGACGGGTCGAGGACCACTGGGGAAGCTTCACGGACATAAAGGATGTCCTTACTTCGCTGGAACGCGTGGTTCGCGTGGGGATTGTCGCAGACGGAGACCGCTTCACTACTCTCCACACGCATGCGAAGGATACCTTGCTTGAGCGGATGGCACTCATCTCGAGCTTGACCGTGCATCGCTTCCACGGGACGTTCTCCTCCCTCATTGCGTTCATTGCTCATTCGCCACAGCTCCAGTCCTTAGAGCTAGTTGATACCCGGATTGTAGGCTCTAACGACGATGATAAGGAGCAGGACGAATTACCCACCTTGAGCTCGCAATTAACACTGAAGAAGGTGAAGCTTGCATGGGTGTTCGAAGGGTATCCGCGACAAGGGTACAGTGACAAACTCGTTTCCTGGGTTTGCTCGCTTTGTCGGCCCAACACCTTGCGCGAATTCTGGTACAAGATGCCGCCTCGTGTTGTATTCAGCAGTCATAGCGCGGAGACTGCCAAGGAGATCGAACGAGTTCTAGGTGAGAAACAGCCTACATCTGCGTTAACGTCGCTAATCAGAACGATCTGACATGTTTGTAGACCATCTAAATCCGCAATATGGCACATTGCGAAACCTTCATCTACTCCCGGGATGTTTTCTCCTCAATATACAGGACGTCATCCCTGTCTTACAGTCGATCGCGCGCACGGAGATCCCTCTTCGCACCTTGGTACTTGGCTGGGAGCCGGACTACATGAATTTCACCCTTGTGGAAAGCGACATATCATACGTCTGCACTCACCTCATCAAGCTCTACGCAAATACCACACACCATTACACTGTTCGGATTGAACGGGCTCACGGTAGCTTGGGGTCGGTAAAGAAGCTTAGGTTGGAAGATGTGGTGCCGAGGAACGGGGTCAAAAGGGCATTTGTGATCCGCCACGAGCACGGAGAGATGGCCCTTGTTCGCATTGACGAATGGGCGTTGGACGGGTCGTGCTTGGACGAACCAATTCCTTCTGCCCCGGGCCGGTCGGTTCGAGTCAGTCTCGAGACTTACTTGCACTTGCGCTCGGGAGAACTCTTCTTTGAGTTGCTTGCTCTCATCTTCGAAGTGCAGTGAGAGGTAAGGGTCCTCTCGCCGAGCCCGGCGCGATGCTGATGGTCGTCCTAGCCTTTCATGCAAGGAGAGGAGCGACATACTTAAGTAGGTGGAAATTCATCTCCTCGTATACCTCGATCGATGGCTGATCGCCCCCTTCTCAGAAGGTATGCAGCCTCCTTCGTCGCCTCTGCATCCCATCTCCCCCGTCACGTCGCAGACCGTTTTCACATGTATGCCCCGATAACGTGCGATCGAATATAAACGTCTTCATGAAAGAACGCCGACTCGGATATCCGGCGCGAACATGCCCTTCACCTCGCCTAGAGCGTAGACGATAAGCAGAAGCAGAAGAGACCCGTCCCGCTCGTCTATATCAGTCCCAGCGGGGTAAAAAAGCATTCAAACACGACTGTATGAAGAAGAGGAGACGAAATCAAATAGCGACCTCAACTCGCCGCTGGATCATCCGAGGCAGACGTGCTTGCGAATACGAAGGGCGCTCTGGCGGGCCGGGCCTCCCCGCCATCCACACGCAGGGACGTCTTCCAGGCAGCGATTGGGCGTGCCCCCGGGGCCCGCGGGGGAAAACACCGACGCTAATCTGGTGCGGCGGTAGGTTCGGGTTGAAGTCTGGGTCTCGCATCTGAATTCGAAACGCCACTGTGGTGAAAAGGCGTACAAAGGTGCAGGGAGCAGCATCAGGCGACCAGGACACGATGCCCCGCCTTACGCCCGAAATTTCGTCGTGATGCGTACATTCATTGCCCTCGTCACTGCAGGATGTGTAGCACATGAGTTGAACGTCGTAAAACGACTCGAAGGGGCAAGTCCACGTACGGGAAGTATACCATCGCCAATCGAGACATCTTTAATTCCTACATTGGCCTCTTTTTGATTTCTGACGCGAAACCACATGAGTTGGACCCATGGACCCCTAGCCTCGCGTCCGTAACCTCGCTTGCCACCGCATTCCGCATGCGGAACCGAGCGCCAGCGATTGGACCGGCGGGGAAATAATCGATTGCGTTTCGCTGAGGGCGTGATCAGCCCATGCTGAATTTCTCCTGACATTCTTCCGGCGACGCCAACACCGCCCGTGTACTGAATGGGCGCCCGTCAACCATGCGGCCGCCTTCACCGCGACGAATGCGGGAGTAACGTCGTGTATCGAAGGCATTAATATTTGATTGTTGGTGGAGTACATCTATCAGAAGGATGGGCAGAGTCTATTAACGTACAACGACTGCAAGAGAACGGCACCGAGGAAAGATAGGACAAAAAACACGTCCATTGCGCGCAGGACACGGTACAGATTACACGGTGGGGAGCGATATCAGTCCTTCTTGAGCTCTCTCCGCACGACGAACAACCGCTCGCCCTCTGGTGTGGTCGAGAGCTCCTGGAGCCCCCGGATACCCTCGAGACCCTGCAATGTCCGGCCCTTGGCGAGGACGATGTACATCTCGAGGCCATCGCCGACCTGGAAAGAAGCCGGTGGTGATGAGCGATCGTCCAGGCGTCCCACGCGGGTAGGGAAAGTGACCTCACCTCGATGTGCCGCTCGGTCGCGCCCGTGAACGAGTCGATCACGAGCTTGATGACGTCCGGCAGCGGGAGATGTTTCGGATGCGACGTGCCGGGCGCGGGCTGTTGGTTCTTGAAGTATATCTACGCCGGGACGAGTTCGGGGAAGGGTCGGGGGGAGGTCAGCGATCCGTGCTCGCGATTTTGCAATGATGAGGGAGGGGCGTGAGCTTACCTGATTGTCCAAGAAGGGTTGTACGAGGTTCTGGGCCGCACCAGCCGCGCGACAAGTTTCACGCTCATAGGACCCCACGGGGTCGAAGGAGTACACGGCACCGGATCCTGTCCGGGTCGGGAAGTGTGAGGAGAAGGCAGGTCGTGCGGAATGAGCGGACGTACCGTCTTCCTCGATGCCGCCGAGGATGTTGTAGACATAGTATGGGAAGAATCGGCGGGCGTAGAGCATGGTTTGGATCAGGCGCGCGATGGCATGCAGCGGCATGTCTTTCGCATGCGCATGGCGATACCACTGCGATCGCACGTGAGCAATCATGCCTATGTAGCACACAGGGCCACTACCCACCTCCAACCGTTGCTTCACCTTCTTCACGAACATGTTTCCGTCGGCCGCAAAGCCGTTAACGGCGAGTACGGCGCGATCGGTCCTAAGCGCCTGGTCAGTTTGCATCCGCAGATCTTCTAGGGCACAAGACACGTACAATTTGAACACTTTGGGCGCGTATCGCGTCTGGATGTTGTACCCTTCGCTCTGACGCGTATCTCCCGCGATGACGGTGAAATCCGCACCAGCGATCGCGAGAATGGTCCCGCCATTATCGCTGTACGGGTTGAATTGACGCTGCTGGGGGTGTTCCATGTCGTTTGTGTTGGGCATGGTCATGAGCATCGTCGTCGTAGCCAGCTTGATCGTCGGGAGCGGGCTGCCGAGTAAGCAGGAAGGGCAAGTAGGAGGAGGAGAAGGTGCGGAGGGCGCGGGATGGGGTGACTAGCTGGGGGTGACGCGTATATAGTCGGAGTCCGAAAATACTTCAGTTGCTGATTTCTAGTGGAGGGGTGGCTTCGCGGTTCCCTTTCATCTCCCGATGGCTTTCGCCGACGAGCCTCCGCCCCGTCCTGGCGCTCGTTCGTTTCGTGAGTATCTGCTCGGGGCCTCGCCTGCTCCGGGCAGCGTTATTCTCAGCATCCTGCGCGAGAGCGGGCGGGTATCTCCAGGCCGTGCCCAACCACTTCCAGATCGGTGGGATTCCGAAGGCTCAATGCTCTCGTACACTCGACGGAACGCTCGATATCGTGTGTACGACAGCCCGCTTCGACAATTAGGGACCCCGGCCATCGGGACGTGCACGAGGATGCTGGCAACTCGTTCATGGTTCCGTATCATCGTTGGGCATATCCATGCGCCACTGCTGTCGTCCTCTGGCGTTGTATACGACATCCCTGCTGAGTTGCCTTGAACGGCGAAATAGCTGGACGGTCCTCTTCGCGAACTCCACCAGGTTATGAATTCTCCTCCGTCGACGTCGGGTCAGATGCATATTCTGAACGGCCGAGCGCTGAGCGCTCCGCCTCTCTCCTTGGAGTCGGGCCAATCCGAAGCACACCCGGAATAATCTCGGTGAGCCCTTTGCGACCCGTCCCGTATTCCCCGGAAATGGAGATGGACCGCTCACCTCACAATAACACGATGATCCAGCGTCGCGACGGAGTCCGGGGTCACCGCTATCTGTCCTTACGGCTGGACGGCGCATCGTCGGCGCAATGAGCAAGCAGATCCGCCAGCGCGCCCGTTTTCCGTTATCGAACGCCCGCCGTACGCGCATCGATGCAGGACAAGCACACGCGGTCTCGGAGTGTCTATGCCACGTACGATGGAGCCTGAGACCGAGCGCACGAACGCGTGGGCTATACGACGCTCGATGCGCAGTTGAGCTGCGGGCAGTGGATGCATATCTACCAAGTACTAACCCTCAAATCCCGTCTAGTACCCGGAGCCGAGTCCCCCGTTATCTTTGCGCTGCTCTCCAACATATGGTGTCGCCAAGGCACAGCCTGCCGTCATACAGCGTTCGCAATTGACCTATCTTCAACATCTTCCTTCTCTTGCGTCAAGGGTGGTTCTCGCCCTCGCCTCAGCGATGGAGCGAACGATGAAAGAACGACGATAATCATATCTTTCGTCCTTCTCCGCAGTCAGTTTCGTCCCGCCCTTTATCTGACAATCCGCTCCTTACAAGTGGAGCAAATCGCGCTGTCGCGTCGCACTCGGGTTCGCCGGCCCGCCATCGTTTTCGCTCCGTCGTCGTGCGGTCATCACCCTCACATCGGCAACACCAGAAGCAGCTATTGCCGACTCCACCGCCTTTCAATCCCAACACGTCTCCTCCGGCGTTCATATAGATCCAAGATACGCTTCCTCAGAGCGTGGCACGCCATACCATCCCGCTCCTAAAATCAACCCGCGACGCCTCCTCCTCGAGGCTACCGCATTCTCTCATGGTCTCCCACACCGCGAAGCGCCTCCAGGCACACGAAGGTTTCGCTCACGTCTTTGCGTCGCCCAGCGGGATCAATTTCCCGATCCCATCGTAACGAGGAATTCATCCCGCCTTCCGGTCCAAGTATGGATCTGTACCACGCCTACGAGGCTTCAACGCTACCCGCGCTATTCAACGCCCTCCGCCCAGAATAGTATCATGCTCGCGTTTCACTCCCGCTGCGGACGCCCGCCTGCCTGTTCCGTCTGCCCGCCTCTCACCCCGGGAGAACGTACGACGGCAGGCATGCCGCGCGCGTATCCCTTCCATCTTAACCCGCAGTCGCGACCGCAGCCGTATTTTTGGAGGATAATGTACGGGATGACTGAGCGGTACCACTGTCCCGGCCAACGCCTCCAGGATTCCTGACGCTCGCGGTTTTTGGCCAGGCGGTGCTACAAAGCTACGAGAACTGCTACGTGTTTTCTCAGGATGCGGACTGGTTGAGATGATGATCTTGACTTCCTTGGCGATCCCGCGTCGCCGGTATGTTGGTCACGCAAATCAACACATGGAAGAGCTCAAGCGACGCCACGAAGCGTGCGATCACAAAAGACACCCGCGGTCTCACCTACAGGTCACCAGGACAAGCACCCGCCAACACCGCGCTTCTTGACCGAAGATCGTTCATACGCTCACACATTCTCGGCATCGCCATCGTGCCTCTCGACTTGTCAACCGGCGGTCAGCAGATGAAACCCATCCCGCGCCTTCCTGAGGCGTCTGACCATATACGTCCCATCATACAACGCCAGGCCCTGTACACATCCTGGTCAGCCCGTGAGCGCGCCTAGTCAAATGGAGAATCAGGACGCGGTCGGAACGGGCACGAACCGCGCGCGTTCTCCCGAAATCGTTCATTAATCCACCTCCTCTGCCGTGGTCGGCCTTCTGCTCGCTTCCCCCTGAATATCATATGTCACTCGACTACGACGTTGAATGGGATTTGACGCGTCGGGCGTGGTGGCGTGGTGGCGCGATACCGTGCGTGGGGTATTATTTGCTCGCGTTCGGTGGAGCGTGAGGAGCGTCGGGGGGACGCGTGATGCGCCCTCTCCTCCGCGACTGATGCGAGCTTCATCCAGATATTCCCGATCCTATGCGGTATCGCAACGAACGCCACCAGATAGCGTGTGTTCGAGTTCGCTCTGTTCTCAGCGAGGGCGTCTTGTCCCTCTCGCGCGTCGCACGCCTTCTTCACTTTCCAGTTTGAAGTTGATCACCGGAGCCGTTTTTCGCAGGTCGGTCGGTAGCTTGTCTTAGAGGCCTAGACGTGACGAAGGCCTGAGGCCTTTTGAACGGTCGACGGTTGGGCGGCGCATAGCCAATGGCTTCTTTCGCTCACGGAGATTGGCCGCCTGGGCCATGACTAGTGACTCACAGTACGTGCAGGGCGCGTGGGCCACATGACTGCAGAGGGTCGATCTCGATTCGTTCGCTCTCGCTTAATTCAGAATGCGAACCCAACCGCGACTCGTGGATCGCGCTCTGTTCTGAGGGTGGTCGCGCTCTTCTCGCGCTCTTCCGTCATGCAGCAGATTTACATTTCTGCGATGCATACGGCTCTCGCTAGACTCTAGCGTGCACGCGTCTCAGAAACCAGATGGTCGGCAGAGATATATTTCTGGAAGTCGGCGCGTCCTGTTTGTCACCAAGGCGCACTCTGTGTACCCTCTGAGCGGCGTATCCCATTGCGTTCTCTCTCAGATACCACCTCTCTCAGCCTGCATATCAACTACCGAGACCCCCGGCGTCTCATCGATGTCATCTCTGAGAGAGTCCAGAGGTCCAGGCGCGAGACAGGTGAGAAGTCCTGTCCTCTCTTCGCGTCCCGAAATTGTAAATTTTCGCATGCAGTCAAGTTGGGCGAATGCGTACATATCCGTGCCATATGCCTCATATAGGAGCGGTATCGTGCGCTCCCCCAATGATCTATGTTGGTCGGGGGGCTGGAGCGCCCGATGGCGCATCGTCCGTTCTCGAATTCCGGACCTTTGTCGGGGCAGCGGGGTAAAGGGCAGTTCTCCATACATGGACGACGAAGTCCGAGGACACAAGGACGCTAGGATGGATATGACCGTACGCATTCAGTTCGTGGACCTCGATCGCAATACAATGGTGTTACTTCTCTTCTGCACCAGGCGGCATCTACTAAGAAAAATATCGTACAGTGATACTTGGACTGCAAGAAGTCGGGATAAATGTATATGTTTCCCCCGGCTTTATTCAAGTGAAGCGACTGTATCGGAGCACACACCCAGACCCCGAGTCACGGTGTAAAAATTTTGAGGATTCTCAGCCCATTCGGAGGGTGCGCAATCGGGAACACATTTTGATAATCACAGGATACAGACAGAACACAATAACCGGAAACGATCGCCAGAGATACTGATCCAGTTTTTACCTTAGGCACGTTGATATCAATGACCTGATAGGATTTGAGAAAATGTGGCTAACGAGGACAGCAGGAGCATAACGTCGCTGCGGGCAAAGCCCGACGCGTCGCACGTTGCACGTGCCGGCATGTCGAGACGCGTCGCCGCACGTGACTGGGCATTGCCTCGCGCGCTGACGACGGCGTACGCCGTACGGAGCGCGAACCCAGGAACTCGCCCAGGCGCTCGAACAGAGCTTGGGAACGTTAAAAACCTGTCGACCGGGATTACTGGCGACTCAGTGAATTAGGAACGGCCGTTCCGGTTCGTGCTGCACGTATGGCCGCCCGCACTTTCTTCGTAAGTTATACAGTACCCTTTTCATTCCCGCTGAGCGGTAGCGCACGCACGCCGCTTGCTCCGTATGACTCACTCATCTGCAGGACCGAATCCCCGCCTCATCTTGCGAACGTATACGCCCTATATATCACACCTGCGGGGTCCACAGCCCAATCAAATGCAGCGCAGTAACGAAGACGTGATTATTTGTGTCGAAATAGCGAAGTAATTAAAGCAGTCGGAGCTAACACGTGTTCCGCATAGCATAGGGTAGGTCTTCATCAACCGCGATAGCTCACTATTGCAGACCCGATTACCCGTTAAGGTGAAGGCAGCCTCACGGAGCGCTTTCGCGAGGGGATGGGCCGGTCGATGCGAGTCATACCCATATATGCGAATGATAGCGGGCCGGTGAGGCAGGTGAGATGGAATATGTATGATTGTGGGCCGAGGACTAGATGAGCAATCACGTGTGCGAGAAGTATTACTGCCCGATTTCTTTGTTCAGGACGATCATCATCGTGTTCCCTGAAAATCGCTATATGCGCTAGACCGAGGTCGGTGCGTCCCTATGCGTCGCCAGTGCACTTCGTATCGCCAAGACTACGCCCGCACCGGTGGCGTCGACGACGACTACTCTTCGGTCCATCAGCCCGATCAGGATCGCCAGGTGCCGCTTCCGCGACCGCCCATACCTCTCGCACCCGTTAGGTCTGGTCGAGACGTAGAGATGCCCAACGAAAGTTACAGACGTCCTGCTCGTGAGGGTAAGCTTCCTTCTGTCAACCTTGCGCATTCATCCTTCACTATTGCCTGCAGAACATGAGACGACGATGTCACCCCGAGGCTATGTATGTGTTCACGTCCCTCGTTGGAGCAATGTGCTAATGTCGTACATAGCATTCAGCAGACGTCCACGGAGAGTTCGGACTCCAAGCTCGCCCTGCTCGATCTGATGTTGAATTCGTTGAAATTCACGGTCGCGCCCGTCGTTTTGCTCACCCCGAAGACCCGTCACAGGCAGCATCCCATGTCGATAGATGGATGCGTGAAGAGTTCGATCCTCCGGCCCCCGCTCCTCCCTCCGGTTATGACGATTACTCATTGCCTTCGGACCCTCGTATCGACGCACGCATGCGCACCCCGCCACGTCATCGATCACAAGCCCCTTCGCGGGATGAGAATACGGTTCCCGGCTGGTCGAGCTCTAGTCATTCGAAGCAGAGACTGGCTAGGACACATCAAGCGGATGCCCTGCCCGCGATTTCCGAGTTGCCACGTTCCCGGGATCATGGACCGCGATCCGCGCATCTGTACGACCCTCGCGACGGCTTTGAAGAGGAGGATCCTCCTCAGGCGCACAGGGACGTCAATCAATATAGCCGCTATGATTAACTAGATGTGACCTCTTGCTGTACCAGACGAGATCAATGAAGGACTGCTGCGAGGGAGATATTGACGACGGAGGAATCCATTTGCAACATGCTGTTCCGAGAAAGAATACAGGAGAGGCCCAATAAGGAAAGCTGTGGAAAGCTTTTTCCGCGAGGCGCAATCGCGCGGGTCATGTATCGACGCCAGAACAATGGCGGACCGATACGAAGAAGAGACGCAGGCTCCAAGAACGTACTGGCGATCCGTAATCGGCCTTCTCATCATAAAATCGATGCTGAGACCGGTTTTTGTGGAGATGGAGATGCATCATATCCCGGGATGTCGGTGCATGCTTTCCTCCTGAAGGTGATGTCCTTGTACGATAGCGATCCGTTCGAGAAACAAGGACAGGACATGGTCGGTGCAGCCGTCTTCAGCGTGCTGGTATGATAAGGTGCACGAATCCTGCCATGATAGGCATAAAACGAGGCGATCACAGTCAAGCATCATTACTCGTCGTGGTGTTTCCCTCGACAGATTGTGGTGTCTCTTTGTGTGGCGTCAGGCACGTGACCGCGTCGAGCACCTGGTTAAAAGTCCCATCCCGGCGTTGAATCTGGATCCCGTGTTTCACGGCAGACCCCTAGGCTATGGTTCGGGATTACGAGCTGGACCCGTCGGCGGAGCCGTCGAGCGTCTTTCACTTCACCACACCCACGAAGACATCAGAGCTTCTTCATGAACACACTGGAGGCTTGCTCGACGTTGCGAAGATGCGGGAAGTAGTGACTACAGAACTCGCGGACAACGCTTTTGTCGTCGCCACCAACCGCTTCGTTCGTTCCATCTTGTCCGATGACGATCCGACACGCGACAGGCGCGCCGCAGCCGAGATATTGAAGAAGCTCGAGGAGGATGAGATATACGTTGCGGGCCGCTGGGCGGACTTTCCACTCGATGCCAGCGCAACAGAGGCCCAGCTGTATAGACCATTCATCCAAGCAGCGACAGAGATTGGACGTGCGCTCAAGGACTTGGAGGGCGAGCCGGCGCCGAGGACGCACGCCGTATGGCTACCGCAACCGGATCAGGTTCTGAAAACTCTTCGGAAAGGTATCACTTCGCTCCGACCCGACATCGTGGCTGTCATTGGCGAGGGGCCGGAGCAAGTCGCGACTGACCAAGATAATCAGGTGTGGTCTGATCCCACTCGCCGTTAGCCGCCGAAGCTGATTCGACTGTGACGGTCAGAACGATGACGGAACATATTGGGTACGAGTGCACACACCAGTCGAGGTCAAGCGCGCAGCCGACTCCTCTGCCGTGGCAGAAGGGGTTGCGCAATTGTGCAGATATATGCGAATGGTCCTCGGTGAACAACTGGACCGCCGCTTCGCCCTCGGGTTGCTTCTGTGTGGTTCCAAACTATCTGTCTGGATATGCGACAAGTCCGGGTTGATAGGGACGCGTGAATTGATCGACATACATACAGTCCGTTTCGCTCTCTTTTCGGATTTCGCGCGCTGGCTGTTCAATACAGCTACTGACTTGTCATGTGTACAGCAACCGAAGAAGTTCATTCGAGTCATCATGGCCCTCTCTCGGCTCCCACCGTCAAGACTAGGTTGGGACCCCGATATGCTGCTCGTCACCCCAGAAGGCCGTGCGGTGCCGTCCACCGACCCTTCCGTCAAGTATACGGACTTTGGATCGTCCTTGTACGAGACGAAGTGGCAAATTACCGTGCGCTCTGAGGGATCCGAACACGTCCTCGTCACCGAGAAAGCCCTCAGCCTCATACGCGCAGCCTCACTTTCGGGAAGCGGCACTGTGGTTTGGAGAGTGCACGAGAAGGAAAATCCTGATAAGGTGGTTTTTAGTGCAGTTGCATCTCCTCACCGTTAACATATGACCTTTATTGCAGAAATATGTGCTCAAGCGCATCTGGCGCCTAGCGTCCGCGCCCACAGAAGAAAAAGTTCGATCGCGTCTGAAAAAGCCATCGCGAGTGTGCAAGATCGCATACACCAGGGACGCTTTCGTCGACGGTCTCCTCGACCACACGATATCATGCATCCGACGGGGTCTAGAGCCCGAGAAAGGTGACCTGGCCAAAGTGGGTAAGTCTTCGCGAAAGAGGGCCCGGGACGACGGGCAGGGCGACGATGCGGAGAGCCCTGAGCAATATATCCATCTCGCCTCGGAGGATCGGGTTGTCATCGCCGGCAAGCACAAACCCGACCCTCGCGTTCGCAGCTACACCCTAATGGAAACCTTCGGGAAGCCTATCAAGTTCTTCGATAACGTCTTGCAGCTTCTGCGTGCCCTGCGTGATGCTGTTTCAGGTCCGCCCAACTCTTTCGTATCGGATTCCGGGTGTGATTGACAGACGCTACTGCCGCTTTAGGTCATCAAGATCTCTGGTTCGCGGGGGTTCTGCACCGGGACATTAGCCCGGGCAACATCTTGATTGTAGAGAATGAGGAAGACGAGGACCAAGTAGGTTGCCTCATCGACCTCGAACACGGCAAGATCTTTGAGACAGAGTTCTTGCCGCTTCCAACCCCGTGCAATAATGCGCGAAGATGCCAAAGACTGATTGAGGAGTTCGAGGATGACGAGGATGACGAGGATGGCGCGGATAGACAAATCACGTACGAACAGGCTGCCGATCTGTTGGGTCGATATGGGAGCGTCAAGGAGGTGATATATTCCGAACAAGGAGCCCGCCACAAATTTAAAGATCAGCGCGCGGTAAGGTGGAGCTTCAGTAAATGTCACATTCGCTGATATACTGCCGATAGGTCCGTACAAGGATATTCACACCCAGAGTCAGTGCATCTTGTACGCCCACGTAATCCACGGACTAACGACCCCGCTAGTACCGATGGCCAGATATCTATAGCGAGCAAGCAGCGAGCGCGACGCGGACGGTATGCATAATGTTCGTGAATTGATTCCTTCTCAATATTCTGAGTAGGGCACGAGGGCGTTCATGAGTGGCGAAATGTTGGAGAGCATTCGGTATCCACGCCTCAGGGCGGTTTTGAAAAACGCTCCTCACGACGTCATCCACGACATCGAATCCTTTTTCTGGGTCCTCGTTTACCTCGCCATCACTCGACGGGGTTCTGGCGGACACCGCCGCCCTGAGTTGCTTCGCGACGACCGCTCTCCGGAAGTGCTGAAGCTCCAGAACATAGCTTACGTTCTTTTTGATTCATCCGACCAACTCATGCTCTACACCAACAAGCTGAAACTGTTCCAGAATCCGAAGCATTTGACCCAATATGTCGTCCCTAAAGTTACCCCGGCGCTGGGCAGCTTGAAGAAGCTCATTCAGCAATGGTGGCAACTCCTCGTCCTCTCTTATGCGCTCTACGATCGCTATACTCCTGGGGTCATACACGATCAAGTTCTCGCTCTCCTTGACGAGGCTATTGCCGAAATCGCTGCGTCGCCTGGGGGAAATGAAGACCCTGGAGTCCCAGCCGCAACCCAGATATGGGAGAACAGCCCGAGCAGGCCTAAGCAACAGAAATCCGCCTCCAAAATTTCACGTCCAGAGTCCCCGAGCCCTATGCCGAAGAGGATGAAGACCAAGATTGGGGGAGACGACATGGACGAGGACGAAGAGGGGGACGAGGACGAGAACATGGGTGACGAGGGTGAGGACGAGGGCGATGGTGAGGACGAGGACAACGACGATGATGACGACAACGATGACGACGACGACGACGATGACGACCACAACAGCGACAGCGACAGCGACGAGAAGGGCGGTGACTAGGGCAAGACCTACAGCGACGGCGTGGTGACGAGATCTGTAACGCGAAGCACAGCGAAGACAACCCCGGCTCGCCGTTCTGACGACCTCCAGTCTCAACTCATCGTCAACGCACCGCTCCCTGTTGGTTGCCTCATCCTGCCTTCACAATCTGTCCATATCTCTCGTGTTTCGGTCCCGGGGACGCAGACCCAATGTCCGAGCTGCGGACTGGCGTACTTACGCCATGTTATATTCATGATTCATTCCTCCCTCCCTCTCTTGCTGCTGGATGTTGTCTCGTAACTCCTTGTCGGAATGCTATCCCTGCTTTGTCGCTTACGCTTATCAGATCAAACTCAATGTTAACGTCCAATTCTACGATCTTTGTTTGAGCTGTCATTGCGTCCCTTATGCGGCATGCTCGGATTGTCAAGCAAAAACTCTGTTTTTAAATACGAACAGGATGAGTATCCTGGTTAACTTGTCTTCGTCCCATATAAGGTGCACGAGGCAAACGAGTATGAGATGTTGCACAGATATACGTCCATGGATTCGAGCGATAAAAGAGACGAGAGGCGTGAGAAAGATAATAAGTCAATACGGGTACGCGTTGTACAGTATACTCACCGGCAGGCCGTGTCATCACGCAAAGTTAGCTCAGGTGATGAAAGGGATGCTTGTCGGAGTTCTCGAGATCATTAATCATTCACCACGCCTCCGAAGGGCCGCCACCACTGCGAATACACTCAGTACGTTGACACCGCTGAGACGATGGACATTCATGTAGCGAAAGAAGTCCGCAGAAACGCTTTCGTCGTCCCTACCGAAAAGTTCGTCGAGAAGCTCTTTTCCGTCTCGCCAGATCCCGGTACCGATGAGAGCGTCGCAAAGTCTGTGCTCGAGAAACTCGCGAAGGACGGTTTCTATGATGATACCAAGGACAGGCGTCGATGGAGCAAGTTTCCAGACGAGCGAAGAGCAAATGAGAAGGAATTCTACCTTCCGTTCATCCGCACAGCAGCGCACAGCGGCCGCGTTCTCAAGGACCTGGGGCACGAGCCGCGAACGCACATCGTATGGCTCGAGGTCCCAGACCGGGGGCTAGTTTCTCTCAACCCCTACGCTGCCAACATCCGCCCTGATATCGTGTCGATCCTCGGAGAGGCTCCCAGGGATAGTCAGGCGGAGGAGACGGAGGGTGAGGGTAAGGAGACAAACGACAAAAAGCGCAAGGTGCCCGATGAAAAGGTACGCCCTTTGTTTCCGTTCGTCTGGTTGCTGGTGTGGTGTTGACGGCGATCGAGCAGGACGAAAAGCTCTGGTGGTCGAGGTCAGAACTAAGGAGGACTAACGTACCATTTCAGGCGGCATTTGACAGCTATGCCGATACACGCGTCTGATTCTCGGCGAACAGCTCAACCGCCGCTTCGTCCTTGGATTGCTCCTCTGCGGGCGCAAATTGTTCGTTTGGTTGTGCGATAGGTCGGGGCTGATACATCCGTCTGGTTCGAGATCTGGCAGTAGCAGTCGTGGAGAAGATAAGCGACGAGCCGATCACAACGACGTACGCTCAAGCAGACGGACTTGACATCAGTTTGGACGTCTATGTTCCTCAAGGGGCCACTGGGTCAGCGCCGGTGGTCCTCTTCTTCTACGGCGGTGGTCTGGCAACGGATTCTCGGAGAGATGACTGGTTTCCGACATGGCTTATGTTAAGGGTGAACTCCATCCCATTTTATCTCGCATCTCGCTAGCTGGTCGCGTTTACCAACCTTCTTTCAAGAGGCCACTCTGAAACGTGGCTAGTTCTTCTTCTCGGCGGACCACCGACTACTAGTCCCTTCGACCGCGCACCAAATCCTAGAAGACGTTCATGCCCTCTCGGCATAGATCTCATCGGGCCAGCTGGCCCTTCACCTCCCCTCAGGAGCCTCTCCGGACCCATCGCGTCTCTTCGTCTCCGGCGACTCCGGCGCAGGCGGCTACATGTCGCGCGTCTACGCCCTCCACGCCTCTTCCAAGCCCAAAGCCGTCCTCTCCCTCTTCGGCATAGGCGACGCCCTCCTGACGGACCACTGGGTCCTCCCACAGCCGCGCGGGATCCCATTCTGGGGCGGCGGTGGAACTCGGGCCGAAGGTGCCCTACAGCGAAGACGGGCGCGCCTCGCTCGCCACCTGGGTCATCCAAGAGGGGTTGTACCTCGACTACCTCACGGGGAAGAAAGGGCTCTCGGCCGAGCTGGCAACGTATTCGACGGAAGAGGAGCGCGCGGCGGCCTTGCCTGCAGCGGAGCGCGCGGTGTTCCCGGAGTTGAGGGCGGAGGAGCTCCTGCCGACGTTCTTCGTACACGGGGACGAGGACACGCTCGTGCTTCTGTACGAAAGCGAGGCCACGCTCCGCACACTGCATGAGGCCGGGGTGAAGGCCGAGTTGGTTGTCGTCGAGCGGGCAGAGCACGGGCTGCATTCTACGTCTGACCATAAAATGGAGGCACCGGGCATTCCTGAGGCTTATGCGCAGGCAACGGAGTTTTTGAAGGGGTGTTTGTAGGGCTCTGTGGTTCATTGCGCGCGGGGTTCAGGATACATAGTACATTCTGTTGTTCTTTACAAACCGCACCCGCTCAAATAACAATAAAAAACCTACGATGACCCTAACTTCATCTAGAGATCGCATTTTCCGTTAGGCCAATGCGGCGGCTTCTTTGCCTGCCTCGCGGAACGCCTCTAGTGCCTTCCACGCTTTCCCGGACGTGATACTCTCCCTCGCCAGCCGCACCCCGTCCTTGAAATTGTCCGCCAGCCCGGCGACGACGATCAGCGCGCTCGCGTTGAGGAGCACAAAGTCGAGGATCGGCGTCAGCTTTTCCGGCACGTCGCTCCCAGAGCAGAGCAGCGCCTTGAACGCCGCCGCGTTCTCCGCCGGGCTCGCGCCCGCGACGCTCTCGAGCTTGTGCGTCCCGAGCCCGAAGTCGACCGGGTGGATCGTCGACTCGGTGATCTGCCCGTCCTTGAGCTCCCACGCGTACGTGTTGCCCGCGCAGCTGATCTCGTCCAGGCTCTCGGCGCCGCATACGACGAGGGCGCGCTGGACGCCGCCCGTACGGAGGCTCTCCGCGAACGTGCGGCCGAGCTCTTTCTCGGCGACGCCGAGGACCATGCCTTTCGGCCGGGCGGGGTTGATGAGCGGCCCGAGGACGTTGAACATGGTGCGGAAGGGGAGCGACTTGCGGAAGGGCGCGAGGTAGGCCAGCGAGGGGTGGTAGTGCGGTGCGAGAATGAAGGCGAAGGGGAGGCGCGGGATCGGGTTGGGTGTCGAGGGGGAGGGCGCGGTGAAAAGACAGTCGAGGGCTTGGAGGAGGTCGGCGGAACCGGATGAGGAGGTCGACGCCCTGCTGCCGTGCTAAGGCCCAGCGTAGATCAGTACGCACAGACGAAGGGACTTTCGACTGGATCTCACTTTGATGACTCGCGCGCCTGCTCCAGCAGCGACTATCGCGGCGGTCGTACTGACGTTGAACGTGTTGTGCCCATCGCCGCCTGTCCCAACGATATCCACCACGAAATCTTCGTCCGCTCCGATAACCTCTGCCTTGATCGCTCTAGCACGAAGGACGTCGGCAGCGGCAGCGAGCGAGTCGGGTCGGCGCTCGATACGTTCGAGGTGCAGCGCGGTCAAGAATGCGCCGATTTGAGCGGGGAGCGCGGCATCCGGCGTCAGGATGTGTTCGAGGCCTGCTTTGAGGTCGTCCGGGGTGAAGTACTCCGGAGTCTTGACGACTTTCAGCAAAAGCGGTTTGAAGGTGTCGGATGTGTATTGCGAGCTCGCCATGCTTCGTGATCGACGCCTTACAACTCCATAAAACAATTTTGTCGTCTTGATTCGGCGAGGTTAGACGCGGGTTCACGAGCTTACCTTGGGTGGTGCGTCCGGGTCAAAACGGGTCGAGAACGAGCATGAAGATCTACGTCTACCTCAGCCACTAGATAAGATCAGACGGTGCCGGCTATACTGTCACTGAGCTCCAGCAACGGCGCAGCGAGAACAGTACAAGCGTCATTGATTGGCTGTAGGAAACGGCGTACGTACACGCAATATCATGGGCGAATTTTACTCAGCACAAGTGGCCATCTCCTGAGGTGATACATAGCACAAGAGTGCTTGGTGCACGTCGATCGAGTCCTCGTGTTCAATTCAGAACAACCGCATTTGTTCTTGTGCATCTGCGCACTACGCGTTGACCTTGTACGATGCCTCCATTGACATTCGCATGTTATTCGGCGTGCGAGGGATGCGTAAAATGCTTGCAACCAAGTTGGTCAACCAGCTTTCCGCAGCAGTCTGCGCCGAAAGCAAGCCCGTATTCAATGAGTCACGGGTGCCCCGCTGTGACGCGGGCAAAGCCGAATACGGCTAAGGTGCGTTCACACGATAAGGTTCTCGAGCGGCACAACGATAGAGAGTTCAAGTCTCGATTGAGCAACTCGAGGTAAGATACGAAACCAAAAGGTAAAGGTCCTCGCGACGAGGCTGCTTGTCTTTTATACCTCGTCGCGGGCCCTTGAGCACATGGAAGTGGAGCAAAAGGATCAAACAGTCAAAAGGCGCATCAGCGCCGGATGCTAGAAAAGGAAAGAAGTTCTCGGTCTCGGCTTCCGGCAGGACCGGCACGTAACATCCGCCCTCCCGAAGTGGAAACCGCTTCGCCCAATATGGTAATCCTCCGCCTCGATCCCACGCCTACGCGCCCCTGCGCGAACCCTTCTCCAATTCCCGCTCCCGTCGGCGCTGTTGAGCGCGCATCTGTCCACGAAGAGCTTGCGCGATAGCAAATTGAATGATATCTTCGTCGACCCCTAATGCGCCGAGTGACGAGCCCGACGATCCGGGAACCTTGTGTGATCCTTGGTTTGACCCCGCGTGATCGTCGACCGACTGCTTCTTGATCTTCTTCGCCTGGGTCCCCTCGGCCTTCTCCTGTCCCTCCTTCGCCGACTTCGATCTAGCAGCGCGCTTGGCGGCGTGTCCGCCTAAGACCTCCTGAACTTCCGGCCGGAAGAAGATCGGTCGCATCGGCTCGCCCTCCACCTCAGCCGTTCCCTTATCGTCGAACCCTGATAGTGAAGCGACGCTGGGATCGACAAGCTTCCTGAGCGTCGAGCGGAGGGAGTAGTACCCAATCGGCACCGGCTCGTCGACAGAGGCAAGACCGCCACGGATGCGCTCGTCATAGCGAAGGTAACGCTCGACGTCCTTCCAATGGTACACATCGAACGGGCATCCTATCATCGGGGCAGGTACGTGATCCACGATGAACTCCTTATGGGTGGCGTTGAATTCGACGCCCTTGCAACAGGTAATGATCACCACGTCCTCGCCTTCCGGTGTCGTACCCGGGAGCGGCATTAGGTCGACATCGGCGGTGGTTGACGCAGCATCCTTAGGCGGCGGTGCATTAACGGCCGGGTCGGGGTCGACTGCGGTTGGCGGCTCTTTACGCTTGGTGGCACCCCGCCTCTTCGCAGGCGGATCCGCGGTCGAGTCAGATGAAGGGGGCATATACGATGGTGAGTGGCGGTTGAGTGGAGATCGGCTTAAGGTTGCAGAGTAGCTAACGGTGCCTATATCACCTATCCGAAGGTCATTATATAGTCGGTGTCCACACCGACCACCGGCATCGTCGACACACAGGGTGATCCCACCAGCGAAGATCTGCGGGTCGTCTCCTTCGATTATTCCACTACCTTCCGGGAGTTCCGCGACACTGCTGACCCCTTGTTCATCCAGGTATAATTTCAAATGCTCGAGACCGTCAATCTTGTCAAGCGGGAGCCAGGTGACGTCCCCAGCTTTCCACTTGATTT